GGAGTAATTGAGTCTGGTGTATCCTGAATATTTTCCAGCATTAGAATACCCTGCACATGAACACTTTAATGTCAGACATATAATTCTAAAAATGTATGAGTATTATAACTAAAATGAACTATTACCTTTTCACCAGATTCAATAGAAGCTGCATTGCTCATTTCTGTAGAATACTCCAACAATTCTTCTTCAAGAAGGCCATGCTTCAATAAGGCTTTAGAAACCTTGTAGATTTCTTTCCCATCCCATATATTCTCTTTCTCAACACATAAGAGGAAAAGGAAAGTTTTCCCAATGAGATTTGTGAGAGGCTCTGGTAAATTTTCTGGATCCTCAATCTGAGGAATTAAAATTTATTGCTGGGGTTAGTAAGATGAGAAGATTTAATAGTAGAGTAAACGTTTAAAACATATAGGAGCTGACCTCATCAACAGAACCATCAAGTACTGCATGAGCGGACTGTCCTATGATCTCGGTGCAAATAGAGTCAAAAAGTAACAATTTGGCCTCGCCGGTAGTGTCCATGACATTAGCATAAAGCATAAACCTAGGAGAAATTAGAATGAGTATGCTCCAACCAAAAATTTGGTTAATTAGAATTAATATGTGTAAGATTTAAACATATCTCTCAAATTAGACAGAACAATGATATACCTGGCTACCACATTTGTGACAACACTTTTACATGTGTCACACCAGAACCTTGGTTTGACACCTTTGTTGTTCACACCATGCACACCAGAGTGGATGTGGTTAACTTTTTTATTGCAGGATCTACAGCTAATGTAGTACCATGCCCAGTCTGTATCAATCCCGTAAATTGTACATAGCAGCCTGACCCTTCCAACCTAGTAATGTCCCATAAATTCATGCGGTCTACTTAAGTTAATGTTCAGTAATAATAAATAGAGTCATATGTTCTACCTCTAGGGAATTCTTGATTTCCTCAATAGTTCTCCTTGGAAGTTCTTGGTGAGCGTCATTGTTAACCCTTACCAACTCCAATCTTGGACGCCTTTCACGGAAAACCAACACTAAACCATCCGGGGGTAGACTGCAATATGTCACTTGTTTTAATACAATTAAACGTTTTACTATATGTAATAAATATTAACTGAGTATAGAAAACTTTACGAATTTCTGAACAAATCGACTTCAGGGAAAGTAGGATTGACAAATACTTGAGTAGTGTCATATGAATTTGTTACACTCTTAACACCTGTCATATTCATAGATTTGTATTAGATATTAGGCATAGATATAACTGAAAACATTTATAAATTAGGAAGATTAGGCCAAAATAAGTACCTTTGTAAGCTTTTATCTTCACAAAGCGTAGCACAACAACCACATTTGAGCCATCAGATTCTTCGCATGCACTATGAACCTGCTCCGCCAAATTCCCCACAGAGTACATGCAAGCCTCTCATCCCTGTCATCGATGGGAAAAAAATAGTTTTGGATGTAGTGAAATATGCATTATCACAATACTGAGCACCATATAAAGCTAACAAAAACATTTGAATGCTCATGTGTCGTCTCTTAGCTCGAAATCGATTTTGGTTGTTGGTTTGTTGTTTGCTTCGAGATTCTCTAGCTCTCCAATAGTAACTATTTGGCCAACAACATCTGCAACATAGATTATATCAGTTATATAAGGATCTGATAATTATGTGTATATATTAAGATGTTAAGTTTAATAAAGAAAACATGGACATACCAACCAACATATGTGGATTGAGCTCTCCACTCTGAATTTTTTGGTACTTTGCCAAAGACAGAAAATAAGATTCAGATTTCGGATCACAAGGCATTACCACAGTTCCAGTGATGAATGCCATCTTGTAAAGATGGCTGGTTGGTCTGAATTGACCGGTTGCGTAGCTGAGACTAAAATTCTCAATGAACATCCACTCGTCAACATGTAGCCTGTTGACATATTTGGGTACCAAATCCTTTTTCACGGTTGCATGGATTTTTTTCCCCTGTCATAAAGTGATTTGAACAGCAATTTAGTTTTCCCATCTTTAGTATATTTTTAAATTTTGGAACGTTTAATGAAAAAGTATAAAGTAATTACCAGTTCATCAGAGAGAACCATCTCTAACGTTTGGCCAGTGTTTTGTGTGAACGCTCTCCAGGAATGGAGCAACTTGACTTGTACTCGCCACGCTGTTTTGTATGGTCGAACGTCTTTCAGGAAGGCAAAGGTTGCAGCCATGGATGAGAAGGAAGGGATAGCAAGTATCAGTAAGGTGAATGTTTCTTAGTTGTTTTCGTGTGTATTTACCTCGGCGAGTCGCACCTATTTATAGTAGTCTGATGATTGAATAAGGTAGTTTTGATCTTATGTGAAGAATAAATTTGAGAATCAAAGAATTAGCGTAATTCCGGGTATATAGAAATCAGTATTTATTTTATGCGTTGATGTGATTTTCTAGTTTTGATATTAGATAATGACGATGAGCATCTATTATTTGAGTTGTTTAGCAATTAAGATATATTTTATGGAAATCATTTGCGAAATTTGTGCGTGAGAATCTCGTATTTCCAAATCAAGTATACGAAGATATGGGGGTGAGATACGCAGAGATGAGAAATATTTTCTCCGGAAGTAATGGCGTGACAATGATTTGGGCTTGATTTAGTTGGGCTCGTTATTCATTTTTAGTGTTTTGTAATTGTTTTTGTAAATGTTTATTTTATAATTTTTAAATTAATAAATGCAGTGGCAGAAGATTGTAAATAAGTGAGCAAAGTGAGGGTTTTTTCAAAAGTTGCTCCACAAATGTTAATATAGATGATATTTTGGAGGTGACTAGTGGAGCAAATCCTTTTATTAACGTATAATGAAAAAATATGTTTACAGATATTTGAGTCTGAGGTCAGCAATTATTAGCTAACCACAAATGGTAGAGAATAATAAACTAATGGAGGTAGACGATGCTATTTCTCTTTGGATAAAGACCATTAAGTAGATCATTTTTCGAGTAATAAACTTTTGGTGATACAATTATTCTTATTTATTTTTTCTAATAAACAGTTTTTTGGGTAAAAATGATAGTAGTGCTTATTGGCAAAAAAAAAAAAACCATGGTAAAGAAATGTGTATTAGTTTTTCTAAGACAAAAAAAAAAAATTTAAGCTTGTGAATAATTGTCGGAATCCGAACTAAAAAAAACTATCACCATTCTTGAAAATTCCATTATATTCAACATGTTTTATCTTACTTTTATAAATATATTAATATTTCATCCATTTCACAAAGAATTTCGTTTTAACATTTTTTTTATTTCTTAAAGAGTATCAAGTTTCATTTTTTATTTTATATAAAAATCTCAATTATATATGGTATATAATATACCTATTATTTGAGCTTATTAATTAGAGAGAAAATATTACATATTGTATTAATAGAGGGTAAAGTTAACTTTTATATATTTTTATTAATTTGTGTGAATACTAAAATGACACTTTTTATTAAACATTCTCACCAATTTCTTAATTTGGACAAAAATAATCGTACAATTGAAAAAGAAAAGCTTAAAAAGAACTGAAAAAAACTAGTGGACGTACTTAGAGCTATAGACATTAGTTGGTCAAAATCATCAAGTTAATGGGAATAGTGGAAGGGGTTAAAAGAAGCAACTTGAGTGTGGAGCCACTCATTGCTCTTTTAAGAGGAAAGAAGAAAAAAAAAAAAAAAAAAAAAGCCAGTGGTTACACAGAGAAGAACGTATGCTTTTGCTTCTTAACACACACATAAGCCTTTGGTTTTTTTATGTGTGGTTCTCTTTTCTTATCCCTATGACACAACACCAAACATTTCTTCTCACATTCCATTCATTATATATCAGACAACAAAACATTATTAGCTCAGGAGAGAAGTAGAAAGAAACCAAATGTCTGAAATAGAAAAGCAAAAGCTTCAAGAAGATCAAGAAGAAGAGTCATCAGGGTCTATTACAAAGACATGGCCTGATATAGAGGAAGAGTTTGTGATACCTGAGGTTTTACATAGTGAAGGTGTGAAGAAGCTTCATATGAGCATTCAAAGTGAGTGGGATTACTTACAGAAGTCTGCTTGTCAAACAGCTGCAGGAAGAGCTTTGTGGAAACATGTTATTCATGATCCTTTAGCTCATTTGTTTGCTGGAGAGACGCATTTGAGAAACTTACATACAAAGATTCAGACTGACCGGCTCAACAATGCTCGAGAGATCTCCGGTGTGATTCTAGCTGTTCGAACTCTATGGTTCGACACAAGGATTCAAGCTGCTCTGGATTCTTTCGAAAGCGATGCATCATCGCAGGTTGTGCTACTTGGTGCAGGTTTGGTTTCCCCTGTTTAGAAAATTTAAGTAATGTTGTATATGTGAGTTTACATGATAATAAGAATAGTAGCCAACATAGAATGGTGTAATGAAATTTTCAGGAATGGATGCAAGATCATACAGACTAAGCTGCTTGAACAAAAGTAATGTATTTGAAGTGGATTTTCAAGATGTCTTGGAAACCAAAACAAGCCTAGTTCAAGCTGCAGTAAATTCTAGAGATGAGCTTAGGATGACAGCGAAATCACTAGTCAGAGTAGCAATTGATATCAGAGACAACGATTGGTTCGAACAGCTTAAGAAATCGGGTTTTCTTCCCGATATTAACACAGTATGGGTTCTTGAAGGCATTCTTTATTACCTGTCTCACACCGAGGCAATGCAAGTACTGAAGCTCATAGCTGAGAAGTGTGCGGTAACCAGCACAGTTCTCTTGGCGGATTTCATGAACAAACCGTCTGCTACACTCCCAAACTCTGTATTCCACTTTTACAGTGACTGGCCTGATCAGCTCTTACCATCTTTGGGGTTCTCTCATGTAAGTCTTTCACAGATTGGTGATCCAGATGCAAATTTCGGTCTGCTGCACGATCCACTGAATCTCTTCAACAAACTTCTTCTCCTGCCAAGAACAGCACAGGTCCACCCAGATGATGGAAAACCATGCTGCCGTTTGTATTTGGTTGAGGCTTCTGGTTCACCGCCACAAGATAAGTTCATAGAGAACCAAGTGAGCTTGTAAGCTCTTTCCAGACGTACACGCTTTTGCAGAACAGATATATCTATGTATATGAATATGAGTCTTTCACACCACAAAAACTGTGTAGGAGATTATTGGTAATTTGATGCATAAACCATTGATATGAACAATTCACTATATTCTAAACTTAAGAAACAACGCTTTTCATGCCTTTCAGCAACTAGCATAACATTCCTTCCTTACTGTAACTCAAACGATGAACGAACCTAACCATCACGCATTCAATTTTATTTATTTAAACGAGATTTCATTCATCAAGACACTTGTAACAGATGTTGGTACACCTATACAGCCAGAATGAGTTCAAAAAAAGAGAAAGAAGAGAGAACTAGACTTCAAGATCATATCTCAAGGCAGTCCTTAACACCCTTCTCAAATTTGTCAAGATAAGAGATAGCCTCAGTAACCGCATCCGCAAGCTTTTTTCTGAAAAACAAGTTTAACATTGCGACCGCTTTAGTGAATTGGAGGTTTGAGTGACAGAGAACACCTAAAAGGAATAAGATCCCTTCATCATTTCGATCACTAACCTATCAGAAGGAAGATTCATATCAATACCATTCGTCAACACGATGAGGGAACCAAAAGACCTGCGGATGAAACAAACAAGAACCACATATCACAACATTATCATAACACTTCTGTACCTCAATAACCAGACATTCTTCTTACATATAAACAAATCTTATTGCAGCATTTTAACAGAATCACACTAGCACATACCTAACAAGTTCACTGAGTATATTCTCAGCTTCTAATTTAAGTGGGTCTTTATCATCTAGTAATGAAGCAGCATTCTTCACAACAAGCTTGAATGTACAAACCTACACAAAAACATCACCCCATCTTCAATAAAAATCAAAACTTTAAGATCATTTGATACTTAAAAACCAAAACTTTAAGATCCTCTGATAACTAAAAACCAAAACTTTAACACCATTTGATTGATAAAAATCAAAACTTTATCATTTGATAGTTAAAAACCAAAACTTTATCATTTGATTGTTAAAAACCAAAACTTTAACATCCTTTGATAGTTAAAACCCGAAACTTTAAGATCATTTGATAGTTAAAAACCAAAACTTTATCATTTGATTGATAAAAATCAAAACTTTACAAAACCTCGACACCGGATTTAGATTGAAAGTCCACAAGAGAGCTTCTCTCTTTAGGAACACAGTCTCTAGCAGAAGACTTAAACAGATTCTGAAGATTCTCCAAATCTTTATCTGAATACTCAGATTCACTAGTAATCGAAAGATAAGCAGAGCGAAGAGCTTCACGAGACGCATCAATGGGAGCAAGTAAGAATCTTGATGACTTCTTCTTCTGATCTTTAAGCCACTCTTTAGGTCCTGCTGTGATAAAAGTTAAGGTCTTTTTAATCAAAAAATCACAAATTTGAGATATAAGATTATAAAATGAAGAGTGGACAAGTGTGAGTGTATATACAGATTCCTAAGGAGAAGGCAGAAGCGGGATCGGAGGGAGTGAGAGAGAGGAGAAGAGAAGCGGCGGAGGAGATGAGAACTACAGTGTCTCTACGGGAGAGGATTTGTGGTTGCGGCGGGTGGTTGGAGATTTGAGCGGCGGCGATTGGTGGTTTAGTGTTTGAAGAGAAGAAAGGTTGAGAAATTGGGATAAGACGAGCCATTGGCTTATTACATTAACAAAGCTTAAGATATTTGTGTGTACCCGCCCATGTGGTATTTATAGGTATGACCAAAATTAGTTTCTCTCTCATTTGGTAACTTTTGTCCGTTTGTTCAAACTTCATACTCGTATATAGAATGAGATTCATTGCAGCCATAGTCATAAACTCATAATCCTCGGCAAAATACCAAACCGAAAAGAAAAAAAAACCAAACCGAACCAAAACTAACACACTAACCGAATGGATCATAAACTTCAAAAATCAAAATCGAAAGAAACATATTTGCACTATTCGGATAAAGGCCAAATTTCAATCTGAACAATTTTAAAAGTGTATTTACATACCTCAACGTGAACAACATGAGGTATAAAAATACATTTTTAAAATTATCCTAGGTGAAATTTGTTTTTCACCCGCTGTTTGCTCTGGGAATTCGGGTACTCAGATCGAATTTGGATAGGAACCGTTCGGGTTCAGGTTTTTCGAATAGGAGAGTTTAAGACTTAGGGGCCGATTGGTAGTGACTTTTAAGACTTTAAAACAATTTTAAAGTCTTAACAGCTATATTTGCCAATCAAGTTTTTTTCACTTTTATTTTTTTTAAAGCCTTTAAAGCCACTTTATTTTTTTCCTTCTTTATTTTCTCTTTATTCTTAAAGCCTCAATATCACGGCTGTAGAAACTTTAGAACAAATAAGTTTTAAAAATTATTTTTTCTTCTCCCTATAATAATTAGAAACTCTCTATAGATTTACATATATTTTTTTCAAACTTTTTTTTTGTAAATTAATTATCAGCATTTTTTTTCCTTTCTTTTGACATCCACTTTTCTTTATAAATTTAATACAGTAAAACCTCTATAAATTAATAATGTTGGGACCATGAAAATCTATTAATTTATAGAAGTTTTAATTTATCGATAAATTAATAATTATTAATTTATAGAGAGATTTTCTTAATTTGGAAAGTTTTTTCAAAAAGATATTTTAAAATAAAATTTAATCATGATAATTAGTATTTTATATAATCAATTACAAAGAAAAAAATTATTATTATGTCTTGAAAGAGAATGCTAACAATTTTTGATATAGTAAAATATTAGAAATAAACTCTAACAAAAAGTAATGTGTTATTATATACATATATTTTGAAAATTTTACCTAATTATTAATTTATAATATTGATGGGACCATATATTTACAAAGGATTTTAAAAAAGATTATTATCTTATTATTTATCGAAATGTGTCTAAAATTACACTGGTCCCAAGTTGGGACCGAAAAAATTTATTAATTTATAGAGATTATTAATTTAACGAGTATTAATTTATAGAGGTTTTACTGTATTTTCAATATCACAATTGTATTTTCTTATATTATAAATATTAATAAACTTTATTTATTTGTTACATATGAATAAATATTGATCATCATATATTTATTAAAATTATATATAATAGCAAAAAAAAAATCAACTTTTAATCGTTAAAGTGTCTACAGCCAATTTCTACAGCAAAAGTCTCTACAGCGAAAGTCTTTACAGTCACAGTCTCTACAGTCACAAGTAACAGCCGTTACCAATCGGCCCCTTAATAGGATAAATTTAAAATTTTGGTTCGGATTCGGTTCGGGTTTGGGTCAGATCGGGTATAGCTTTTAATAACCGTTAAAAAGCAAATACTTTCGGATACAAAAATATCCAAAATTTTACCCAAATATCCAGAAATATTTGGGTAAATTTCGGGTTTTCGGATAATACCCAAGTTTTCCGGTAAAATTTTAAAATTTCAAATAAGGTATTTTCGAGTATTGGGTGTTCGGATCCTAAATTATTTATAAATATCTATAGTTTGGATTTTTTAGGTTAGGGTTGGATTCGGTTTTGGATCGGATTCGGGTTCGGATTTAAGAGTTTATGACCCAATAAAGTAAATATAAAATTTTGGGTTCGGATTCGGATCAGTTACGGTTAGGGTTTTCGGTTCCGGTTTTTTGGCCAGGAACGGTTAATTACTGCTTTGCTCTGTACCTGCAACAACACTTGAGATCCGAGTCGTGTATCTCTGATCAATTGATAACACGATAATTCAAGTTCCAGCAATCTAGTTTACAGAAGAAAATGGAATCGAATCATCCTCACTTCAAGGTTCACTTCCTTTTCCAAGTCTTCCCTCACCTCTCTTCAATTGAACTGTTTCAAATTGTTGTGAATCCTCCACAACTTTGGAATTGGGTTTGCTAAAGCTATAACCTTTTTGCGTTTTCACATTCCAAAATTGAATTTTGTTTTTTGGTTTGCAGATAATTTTGGGGTCTTCTTCGATTGCTCGACGTACGATACTAACAGAGATGGGATACCAATTCACTCTCATGGTAAAAAATTTCTAATTCAAAGTTTGCATTTTTTTTGTATTTGGGTTTACATAATTTTAAGTAGAAGCTTACTTGTAGAGTGCTGATATTGATGAGAAAAGCATCCGTAAGGAGAAACCTGAAGATTTGGTTTTGGCTTTAGCTGAGGCAAAGGTAACAACTTTGAGCAAGTTTTTGTAAGCTCTTGTGATTTGAAGTATACAACTTTGACTAGGCTTAAGTGTAGATGAACCAATAGAATGGTTATTTGGTTAATCTTATATGTAATGTTAAGTTTCTTGTTTCCCATTGTTTATCTATAAGCTGCATCACAGGCTGATGCTATTGTGTTGAAACTACAAAGTACTGAATGTGAGGATAAGGAACACCTTACAGTCTTGATTTCATCGGATACAGTATGTAGTTTTGTTTGGTTTAAGCTAAATTATTCGATAGTCGTCCGTTCACTATCACCAAGTTTCCATTTTATGTTGTTTGGGATGTATCACCTTCTTGGCAAGACCATATTCTTACTCTATAGCTGTACATAGTCCAGGCTGAAGCGATCATGTGTCATTATATGCCTTCTTTTTATGATAGATGATTTATTTCTTATGTTTCCTTTGCTTCATTAGAATGGTTATTTGATAATATTATTCTGATTTTCCATTAAGTATATATGTTCGTTTCTTGTTTTGCATCGTTTATCTATAAACTGCTTCACAGGCTGATGCTATTGTTTCAAAACTCGAAACTACTAAATGTGTGGATGAGGAAAAACCTACAGCCTTGATTTCATCAGATACAGTATGTAGCTTTTCTGGTTTAAGCTAAATTATTCGATGGTCGTCCATCCACTATCACCAAGTTCCCATTTTATGTTTTTGGGATGCATCACCTTCCTGGCAAGACCATATTCTTACTATATAGCTCTGCATAGTTCGACACAAGAAGTAGCCATAAGGGTTTTATCTCGCTAGGGTCTTCTATTGTGTGATTCTATAGGTTTTCTTTGTTTATCTTCTGCGTAGAATAGTCTTTGGAATTGCAGTTTAACTGTTTACATGTTTTGTAGCTACTCATTTTTATTCATATTCTAGAAGAAGATTACAATCTGGTTCATGTTGTCACATTATTATTTTCTTCAGAGTTTTAACTAACTAGAAGGACCTCTATCATGTGTGTATCTTAAACCGACGAAATGTTTTTCCCAGGCTGAAGCGATCATGGAGCGGATACCTGATGGTGACAACATAGAGGAGGATAAGTCGACCTTACTTATTACTTGTGACCAAGTACTGTTCTGTTTATGAACTTTCTGTGTTTGCTCAAACTTTACTTTGATATTATCAACTGGCTTGCTGTAGTGTACAACTATATTAGGTTAGGTTAGTGAATAAATGGAATCTAAAGAGCTAAGATTGGTTGGTTTGTAATCTTTAGGAGTTCACTAATGAAGGCTTGGGTATTCTAAGGACATAAATGGTACTTGGTGATATTGGATAGTCAATGAGAGACTTTGATTTAATCATTTGAATTGTACATTTGTATTAAGGTGGTAGTCTATGAAGATGCCGTCAGAGAGAAACCCTCGAATCCCGAAGAAGCTAGGGAGTACATAAGAGGTAACTACACAGGATCTTCCTTGTTTACTACAACTCAAAAAGCTTAGGTTACATATCTATATTCTTCAAAACGCAGGCTACTCCAATGGACACACAGCAACAGTGAGTTCTGTGGCTGTAACAAATCTCAAAACAGGATTCAGACAAGCAGGCGTTGATAGAGTGGAGGTAACATTATTTACTTGTGTATTCTATTAGAGTTGGGATGTATCAGAATTTGTGCTGATGATTTAAATCCCTAACAGATCTATTTCAATGAAATACCGGAGGAGACTATAGAGAAACTGGTGAGTGGTGTTTGGTACAAGTATTAAGTCATGTCTCATCTTATTAGTAGTATTACTTCTACTAAGTTAAGGCTGTCTTGGTGACCAGATTGAGGAAGGTACGGTGCTTAAGGTGGCTGGTGCACTCCTAATCGAACATCCTCTAATATTGCCATGCGTTAAGGAAGTGGTTAGTTAGTTCCTTTACTCTCTCCATATTAATATAATCCAAACCATAACACATGACTTTGCGTGGATTCAAGTCTATACTGCAAGAAGTTGATCTTATGGTTTCATTTCTTATATATATTTTGAAGTATTGGTGAATTGTTGTATCAGGCTGGGACAACGGATAGTGTGATGGGTCTGCCCAAAGACTTGACTGAGAAACTGATAAAGGAAGTATTGGCAAGCACATAGGTTACATTCCTGGTCTTTGAGACATAACATGAACAAAAAGTTTTTGTTAAACTAGTTGTGTTACTTCCTCGTTGTATCTCACTAAACCTTTAGATTGGAATTTGGTATTTTCTTACTGCTGTAGCATTAGAGGCTTTGAAACACTCTCATTGAGAACCCATCAATGGTTCATCACTAGGGATGTTGTTATTTGCTAGCAACCACCCAATGAATGCCTCTGATACACTGAGACTACTTATTATAGAAACCTCTCGTTTATTATGTAGTAGTACGTGCTAATAACATTAGCCTCAAAACAACTTAATGTTTACATTTTCATAAAAACACACACGATGATGTGGTGGTGTTAACCACACTCATACGCTCGAGTGGTTTAGTAGTAAGAAGGGACGAAAGGGATCTTGAATGGGCAAACATCAACTTGTGGGATGTTGCAAACGTTAGGCAAGTGTTTAGCTGTTTGGTAAGCTTTCCTGACTTGGAGTGGTCTCATCTGCTGTCCCTGGATGCTAACAGACCTGGCGGCTCTTTTCAAGGTAGGGCAAACGCAAACTGTGTCTTCTTGACGAAGCTCGTTGCAACACTGCTCGAGTACCTCAGATCTCTGTGGGTTCTCGATGTCATCTTCGTCGTCATCACCACGGCCTTGCCTCATTTGCTGACGCATTAATTGCTGACAAGCTCTTAGGTGTTGTGAAGCTTGAAACTCCTTTTGACATTTCTGTCTTGGGCCTATGGGGTTGCTGGCTTCATCGTCGTCGAACTCGACAACGGTGCGGTAGATGGAAGCGTTGGTGAGGAGGAAGCAAAGAGCGAGGGTTGCGCAGACGAGGAAGAGCTTGTTTGCCATTTTGGTAACTGTATTGTATGTTTTTGGTGTGAGTGAAGAGTGTGGTGAAAGGTTTGGTTTGTATTTATAGGTGAGAAAAGAGATTTGCATGGCAATCACGTGTAAGGATGCATGCATGCATATGTTTGTGGTGTGTGTGGGGAGAAAAAGAGAGAGAAGCTAATATAATATATTGTTGTCGTGATTAGGTGTTGGAGACTTAGATGTGGAAGAGTGACAAGTTTCCTCGTCTACAAGCAATGCAACCATGCATATGTATGATCTGTAACTCATGTTCACTGCGGTCCAACGTTTACAAAGACACTTCTCAAAATATTCCTTTTTTACTAAATTCATAAATAATACAGTACTAATCTTTTTCCTACAACTTCAAACGAAAGAAACAAAAGTTAAGAAAATTTAAAAACATTTTAGGATCAAAATTGTGAAGTGGTCTTAGTTAAGTGGCAAATGATAAGTTCTTTACGAACATTCACACAACATCACACCGGAGATCAAGTAGGAATTTAACTAATGATGTGGCCTAATTTTAACCCCAAAAAAGATAACATTAAAAACAAAAACAAAAAATAGTTACAGAAAATAGGATACATATAGTTAAGAAAATATTATTGAACATGTATATCGGTGGGTTCTTAACCTAAGATTTTGTTTAAAAAAAATATAGTCTTGAATGGTAGTACATTCTATAATAGATATTGGATTTTGTTTTTCAGAATCTCATTTTTTCTCTATTCAAGATTTTAGACTAAATATTCCCTAAAAAATAGTCCCTTTGAAGACATTTGATAAAATTGGAACGATACAAAAAAGAATAGTATGGTCTTGTGCAAGGATGACACGCACAAATTGAGAAATCGTCCAAAACATTCCCAAAAAAATTAGAAAACTAGTTTTAAAGTTGTTTTTAACAATTTTTAATAGAAATCAAAATCTAAATATTTGAGATTTTAAGAAAACATCAAAACACTAACGACACTTCTTTTTTTTTTAACTCTTGATTTATTATTTATTGCAAATTATGAGAATGGTTACAATGACGATACTATTACCGACAATACTGTCCGACCTTTTTAGATTCACCACAGATTACAACCCTTTTCTGACGACACCTCCTCCATGCGTAGAATCACGGCGAACGGTTCTAATTGTGCATAGTTATAGATCTCTTGTAAGCTTAGCTCCTTAATCTGCAAATTAAATAAATCGTATTACCTGGACGTCGAAACTCAGACCTTTTGATGTAGAACCTTTAAACATCCCCTTTATCAACCACTAGACTAAGGGAGGTTCCACTAACGACACTTCTCAATTTTCTTTTTTTTATTAAATAAAAAAAAAGTAAAAAACAAAATATAATATCCATTAAAAAAAAAACTAAAAACCTAAAAATCAATAACCAAAAACTGTAATCTACAAACTATTTAAGAACCCACAACCATTCATGGTCATAGTCCACTCCAATGTAACGTATTTGTCTAGCAGACAACGTATCGACACAACAAAAGTCACTTCTTCACATTGTTACCAAAAAAAAAAAAAAAAGTCACTACATACCAAACCGAAATCTAACCACGTCGTAACCGAATCAAAGCTTTGTTTGGTTCAAAGTGACCAAAAAAAATCTCCAAACCAAAAAATTGAAATTCCAGAAATTCTAAACCGGTCCGGTTTAACCAAATCGACAATCCATGAACTGATCTGAGAAAGATAGATTTGGCCTAATACAAACGTCACCGGAGAATTTAGGTTTCTTCTTCTCCGATAATCACCGGAGAATTTTCTTCGATTCTGTCAACAAACTCACTCACTCTTGCTTAATCTTTAGGTACGATTGTGGTTTAATCATCTGAAATCGATCATCTTCCAATTTTTGTTATTCAATTTCTGTTTTGGATCTTGCACAGGTAAGAGATGGAGGAGATGTTTGCTCTGATAGTCTCCATGATTCTTATATTGTCGGTGATTCCTTTGTTCTTGTGGAAACGTCGGAAAGATGCTAGATCACCGGAGCAAGTTGCAGAACCGCCGCGTGAGAACGTGGCACGTGCAGCTACTACTGGTGGTGGTGGACGTAGGATGCGGCGGAGACCTGCAGCTTCTTCTGGTGCTAGCTCCTCCTCTACTACATCTAATGTTCAAGGTTTGGTATTATTTGATAGCTTTTGTTTCTCTTATTTCCTTGTTTTGATGATTGAGTTTTAATTTAGTATCAAATTTAGAGTTTACTATAAGCTAGTGAGAATTAGTCAAGGAGTTTATAATTTCATTTATCATCTTGGTGTGAAAATGTAAATTTAAGATTATAAATTTCTTGGGAAAGGAATGAAGTTACTGGTCTTGGATTTACTTATTTGGGTATATGTGAAACAGAAAACATCAGTGGGAGTGAAGATGAAGATGAAGATGAAGCTGGTGGATCTCAAGTTAGAGCATCGAAGAAGAAAGAGAAGAAGCGACAAGAGCGTGAAGCACAAAGACAGGTGACGAAAAATCTATACTGCCTTTATTCTATTAGAAATTTTGGCAGGATAGATGATGATATATTCTAGGCATTGCTGTTGACCAGTGTGATAGTACATTGGTTTTTAGCTCAATGTAATATAGTACATTTTTTGTTTTGGTTCGTGATCAAGTTCTATTCTTATTGTTTGTGTAAAAGGCTGAAGAAGCTACACGCGAGTCAAAGAATACAAAACAAGATTGGTATGCAGAAATGCGGAGGAAGAAGGACGAAGAGCGTGAGGCAGAGGAGCGGAAGTTGGTGAGTCAGTTAATGTTTTATCTCATATCTGTTGTGTTAAGCTTCCTGCTTTTTGAAATGCTGGGGGGTTGGGTAATTGTGACATATTTTTGTAGGAAGAAGAAGAAAAAGCGCGACAAGCCAAGGAAGAAGAGCAAGCTGCTTTAGAGTTTGACAAATGGAAAGGGGAATTCTCAGTTGATGCTGAAGGTACTACAGAGGAAGCGCAGGGTGAAAACCAAGATTTGCTTTCTGAATTTGTTGAATACATAAAGGTATCTTGAGTAACCCTTTACCAAACTCTTTTCGATCTCTCACTCTAACCGTCGTTTTGTGATTAGAAACACATTAACAATGAGATATAGATACAAATTTTTTGTTGAGCCTTTCTTTGATGTGTGATGTGATTGCAGAAACAGAAATGTGTTCCACTTGAAGATCTCGCCGCAGAATTTCATTTACGAACTCAGGTATCATCTGGCTACATATATTCTATGCGGAAAAGAAAAATGAATACCTTGTGTCATGTTCTCTAGTCTGATTCAACTGTTTTTTTTTTAGGAATGTATAAACAGGATCACATCTTTGGAGAGCATTGGTATTTTTCTCTCTGTCTAATCACAAAATAGCATTAGTCTCATCCAGCAGTTTGATAATTTGCTATGATTAATAGACCCGAAGCAATATTTGAAACCGTAATGGGAACGCTCTTAAGAATCTGAACGCTTTCTCTTATATTCAGGGCGGCTCTCGGGAGTCATGGATGATAGAGGAAAATACATTTACATATCAATGGAGGAGATGAATGCGGTTGCGGATTACATCAAACGTCAAGGAAGAGTTAGTATCTCACATCTAGCAAGCAAGTCGAACCAGTTCATCGACTTGGAGCCCAAAGTAGAGCACCAACTGAGTGAAGAAATTAGCGGCATGGAAGAGATCTCGGTTTCTTAGTCGGGTAAAATAGTTTGTCAAAAACAAGAAATTTCAAAGAAACTAACATGTTCACTTCTATAAACGAAAACGTTCCGAGCTGAAGCAAGTACTAGTCTCCTTAAGCCCGGAACAAAGTTTTTGTTAAACTAGTTTATTCAGTTGTGTTACTTCCTCCTTGTCTCTCACTAGACATTTAGATTGGATTTTAGTAATTTCTTACTCCGATAACATTAGAGGCTGAGAAGTTACCAATGAGAGACCAATCATAATTAAAAAGACATGATACTACTTTAAATCCGAACGAAAAGTTCACCAAACTGAACCGAGCTTTAATTCTGGTCTAATTAGAATTCTTCCAAACCGAACATTCCCAACTACGCCTAGGTGTTCGGGTATCCGATTCGCTTCCGGTCTTCCTGATATATTCTTTTGGTTCCGAGTATTTAAGGTAGAGTTATTTAGGATCTATTTGGATATTTTAGAATTTTAAATAGTGTTATTTTTGGCTTGGTTTCGGATATCTGAAATAGCTCAATTATTTTTAAAATAGATAAAATTAATTAAAACTTGATTAAATTTTTGACATTCCAAAAACTTTGGATAATTTTGATTATTTTGGTCTTAAAATATATGATATTTATGGATTTATAATTATAATTTTAGTAATTGAGTTATATCAAATCAAAAAAATCAACTAATATTTTAGATTTATAATTATATTTCGGATGTTTTAGTAATTGAGTTATATCAAATCTAAAAATTAACTAATATTTTAGATTTATAATTATATTTCGGATGTTTAGGTATCTTTCGGTTCTCGGTTCTCGGTTCGATTCCTTTCTTCAGTTTGGTACTTTCGGTTCGGTTATTTTACTCTATCTTTTTTTTTTACTCTATCGGTTATGTTACTCTATCAACAACCACAACTACAAACCAAACCATTAAAGTTTCATCGGAATTTGAAAACTTAAAAAAATAATTATCTGATGACAAAAAAAAAAAAAAAAAAAATCTGAAAACAGCCTAAAAAGTATCGACTCTGCTTTCTTCATCACACAAACACTCTCTTTCCTCTGAAACCTCTTCTCATCTTCTTCAATGGATGAGACTACAAAACCAAAGAAACAAGAAGACAACAAACCAAAACGACGCCGTAACATCAAACCCATTTGCCGTGAATCAGGAGACCACGTCCACTACCCACCAACACACAACAAACCAAAGCTCAAACCAAAGCCATCACCGATCCTCAAAGTCACTCAGAAACCACACTACACAAAATGCATGAAGAATCACGCCGCCGGTATCGGAACCACCGCTTACGACGGCTGCGGCGAGTTCGTCGTCAAAACCGAGGAAAAAGATTCTTTAAACTGCGCCGCATGTGGCTGTCACCGTGACTTCCACCGTGAAGTAGTCTCCGAGACGGTTCTTGAAGTTCTCAAGATTTCGTCTGTTCAGTTTCGTCGGATCTTTTGCTCACCTTACGGCGGAGGCAATAGCAAAGTCAAGAAGGAGGAGATTGATGGAGAAGAGTTGGTGGGGAGAGTGAAGAGGTTGAAGACGAAGTTTACGGCGGAGCAGACGGAGAAGATGAGGGAGTACGCGGAGAAGCTAAGGTGGAAGATGAAGGCTGAGGTGAGGAATGAAGTTGAAGAGTTTTGTGTAGAGATTGGAGTGAATCGGAAGAACTTTAGGATTTGGATGAACAATCACAAGGACAAGAAGTGACTAAGTGAGATGAGTGTAATTGTGTAATGATAATGATTTACTAAACTTTAATTGTGTAATTATGTAATGTAATGTATAATTAACGGTTTGATTATATCGGGTTTAAACCAATTGTGGAGAAGGATTTGGTAGAACCTCTTTGTGTAATCGGGTAGTGTATAAAGGCAAAAATCAACACTTTTATGATTAGAGGTGTCAAGCAGGCTACTAATCCGCGGAATTGGTCCAAGTAGTACCACGGCGGAATGAGTATAGATAGACACAAATATATTGAGGCCCGTTAAAAATGGGGTTTTACGAAATAAACCATATGGATTGTGGGTTTTAGCCAACTATATATATGGTTTTAGCGGGCCAATCTGCGGATTACAAAAAATTTGGTGAAAAATGGAAAATAAAATTTAGATTCGCGAATCTCGAATTGTAAGAAAAGGTCTTATGTGAGTATCAAAATTGTAGAGAGAGATCCCAAACTTGCCGCGAAAGCGAACATTTAAATAATGCATGATAAATTGTCTCGAATTCTCAGAGAAACTAAGCATTCTATGACCGGAAGTGTACTAGTTGCAATTTGCCAAATAAAATGTTTAATTTTTGGTGGACAGCGAATATGCCATGTATATGCTTTTATAGTAGTATAGCTTAGACTCTCTTCTCTCTCGGCTACAAAATTATGTGTTAGTCAATAACCAGATTTTACCGTATATTTTCTAGATATTGTGTAATACTAGATCAATCTATGTCGCTTATAGGTTTTACATATAGACATGTTTTTAGTAATCCAAATATTTTTCGGATTAATAAATTCATAAAAAATGGGTAAATGCCACTCTTTACTTTCTGAATTAATAAAATAATTAACCATTAAATTTAGGTGGAGGAAACTTCCTAGTTCATAAACTAGATGAGGATTAATATCAAGTATCCAAAAAATCTCTCCGCACCAAAGTACACCAAAATGAAAGTATCCGTGGAACTTGTTGATGGATGGTTGGTTCAAACCAAGATTCATACCAAAACCAAAAACAATTCTAAACTATGCCTAGCTTAGTGTGCAACATTCTTAGCTTAGTGTGCAACATTCTTAGTTTAACCATCGACCACCTTCCTTCAACTGTACGCTTGCTATCAAGTAGATAGTCGGACACATCATCTATAGACTATAGTGGACTTCTTACAGATTAGTTTTGAAGATTTACAAGGAGACACTAACAGAGCCAAATTGATGAAAATTTTATTACAATCCTCAGATTGAGATGACAAAGTTGTATGGAGATGTACACCAGAGAATCTTATATAATGACATCAATGTCGTTTGGTAGAGTTTATCAACCGGTTTTGTCTTTTTCTTTCTTCACCAAACTCTTGATTGTATCTTAATCTTAAACTAATTACAGAATAGTTCTAACATTTTTTTCCCTATCTTTCTAACCACAGAAAATAGAAATCATAACCAAAATAATAAGTTTCTTACCATTTGGCTTTTGTCAAAAGGATGCAAATTTTACGTATGTACAATCGCTGCCTTGCCACTCGCCACATTAGGTTTTGTATAGTCATTATGAACCCTTACTTAATCAAAGAAGATAGTTTAGATAATCGTCGAAATAAAGAAAGAAAGAAAGAAAAAATCTCTTAAAGATTATCGCAAGCTCATGAGATGTGTATCTTTAGTGACTAATCCTTCATGTTCTTTAAACCGCGGAAAAGATAGTGAAGGCATAACAGGGTTATCTTCAGGCGTTGGCGCCATCGAAGGCTCCATTACCAACTTCTCTTCTTCTACGCGATGAACAATCTCTTGAGCTAAATGCATTTCTTCTGAATATCCCATCATCCTCCTTGGACTAGAGTCTTTAATCTTTTGTTCTGAAACCATCCATATAAAACAAAATATTCAAATATTTGTAACACAAAGGTCACTACAAAAGAAGATAACATGTTCTCTTCTATAAACCAAAACGTTCCTAGCTAAAGCAAGTACTTAAGCTCGGAACAAACATTTGATAATACCCTTATTGCAAGGTTCAACTTCCTTTCGAAAGACCGAGTCATCGATCATTTTCTTGACTTATGAAACAAAGTTTGATATAAGAAGATTTGTTAAGAAGAATACCTTGATGATCATCAGGGATTGAGGGAAGAGTTTTGAGAGATTGAGACCAGCTAACAAGCATTGGTGTGATAATGGTGAGAAGAGCCCAGAAGAAGAAGATCATGACATAGGCTCTTGCTTTCATATTTCTCAACAACAACTTAAAAATTTTTATTTTTATTTCTCTGACCAAAAGATTGATGATGTTTGTTTTGTTTCATTCCTTAATAACCAAACTATAGAAAATACAAAAAATGGGTTTGAGAAGAAGACAACTTCTTCCAACAAATAAAAGTCGAGCTGGCCATGTTTGCATAACATTCTCAACACTTTCTTCATTGTTTATTTTAATTATATTTGGATGTTTTAATAATCTCTAGCATGAAGTCAAGCCTTTCACCAAATTGTGAAGATTATATTAACTTATTATGTATGGTTGTTAGGATGGTGGTTGTTTTGGTATCATTTTCGGTTCGGTCTAATCCACTCCTAATTTTTGTTTTGTTTTGTCAATTGGTCCAAGTGACTAGTTTAAATCCATAATTGGTGCCATGGACAGAAACTTTGAGTAGATATATGGTAGACCACAGTCCTTGATGTTATAATATTGCAAAATCAGGGTTTGATGCACATATTCGAGAACAATTCAATGTTCTTATGTTCTTTATCAAAATGGTTGATAGTGAATTGTTGTTGTTACTTGTTACCACCTTCTCAGAATGTAGGATATTTTTACAATATGAATCGTAAAAGATAAATGTGTTTTCCACGTTTTTCTTTGTTAATGTATCTTTGTTCCAGGACAAAGTCGTGACAAATTTAGTTAGAAATTTTCAAGTTCTCCAATCGATTTGGACGTTGTTTAGTGTTTTGATTCACATAAGCTTTATGTACCGAAAATGTGTTTGTTCTTTGTTAATCGAATTTATATGATCCACTAGTTCTTAGATCACAATTTTTACTTCATTCGATGGTTGACATTGAATTGTTGTTACAACCTTGTCGGAATATAGGATATTTTTTGCAAAATGAATCGTAAAAAATAAGTGTGTTTTCCGCATTTTCTTTATGTGCTCTCTCTTTGTTCCGAGATAAAATCGCGATAAGTGTAGTTAGAAATTTCCAAATTCGATTTGAACATTGTTTAGTGTCTAATTCACAATGGCTTCGTGTACCGAAAAACGTGGTTGTTCTTTGTCTAGTTTTATATGATCCACCAGTTCTTAGATACAAATTATAAACTCTTGATCATTTCGCTGCCATTTGATGGTATATACAGAAACGAATGGTGGATAAACAAATGATTGAAGAGAGAAGGCAAAGTCAATGTGTCTGGTTCCGCATTATCCAAAGCTTTACGTAGTTGTCACCATGTAGGTGGCCACTTATGTTTATTTCTATTTGACTAAATGACGTTAAACTAATCATAATTTGAGATTATAATCAAAGTTTGGTGTAATTACTAATGAGATAGGAAGTGGTGAACAGATTTCAGATTTAAAAACCAAAAGAGCAAAACTACGAGAAAGTCTCAATGGCAGCTATTGAGTTTATATGACCAAATGAAAAAACTTCACGCAACCATTTGCAAAAGTAAATCCAGCTAACATCGAAATAAATAGTTTCTGGCGTTACACACACAAAAGTCTTACATTTCCATTGGAGCCACGTCTTGGTCACCTGCACCAGCACCACCACCTTGTTCTGCAGGTGCAGCGGCAGCAGCTTCGGCCTCACCTTCATCAGCTTCGCCTTCGCCTTCATCTTCTTCTGGAACTTTCTCGAATGTGTCGATCACTTTCTGTATCGCTTCTTGGTCCAAGAAGTGGAATGGTTCATCGACTCCTAGAATAGAGACTGTGCAGAGAGAACTCTTCAGTGTTTCCCCTTGTAGTGTCTCCCTAACAGCCAAAATTGCATCTTTTATCAGATCTTCTCGTGAAGAATCCCCAAAGCTCTCAAACCTGCGTTCCAGATAGGTTTTTGCCGCTTGGGAACGGGATCCAATAGCAAAAGCTTGGTACTCGAAGTAGTTTCCGCTTGGACAGTTGTAGTAAAGGTGGGCACCAGACTCATCCAGTCCACCTACCAGTAAACCCACGCCATAGGGACGTTTCCATGATCGTTGGGTACAGACCTGTTTACAAGGCAGACACACACAAGAATAATCCCTTATTCAGATCAATAAGTATCACATTAAAAAAAACTTGGCATTAAAGGAGATATTAATGTAACTTAAGTTGGACCTGTCTAGCACAATCTTTCATACTTACAAGAATGAGGAACATATAAGACTGTTCGTTTTAGAAAGATGGATGATACAAGGGAGTTATTGCTAGAGGCTTTGTTGCAAACCAACAATCAAAAATGGGAACATATGAACAGTTGTGTTATATGCATCAACAGAAGTGAGATGTAGCAGAAAAGCATTTACACAGTTGTAATGACAACAGCTAACTTTAGACACCATTAGTTAGAGAGAAAACAGAAGAGAAATGTAGCACATAATTATAGGCAAGATGTCGAACAACATAGCAGGGGTAAATGGAACACTAAATGCAAAATGAAGACCGAAATCCAAATCTTAAACGAATGAATTCTCTGGTTCACAAAAGAAAACAAAAAATGAATGAATTCTCTTAGTGACGGATGCACAAACAATGTAAAAGTACCAAAAGAAAATCAAAACTCAGTCTTCTACCATATTACTGTCAAAGTGAGTGTTTTATAAGACCTAAATTAAATTATTAGACGAAACGACCACAGATCATCTTAATGACAATTGCAGGAACAAGTAAAAGTACCGGAAATCAAAACTCAGTCATCTAGCATTACAGTGAATGATTTCTACTACCTAAACCCAATTATTAGACAAAATGACAATGGATCCTCTTAATGACACTGCAGAAACAACTAAATGTACAAGAAGAAAAACAAAACTCATTCTTCAAATCCTAAGCTTATGACATGTTCTTGGTATAGGTACACCTTTGTATACAAGATTATGCAGCTGTGACAACTGACAACAACATCCAAAAGAATTTTACCAAACAGGAATTGAGTTTCTTGTTAGACGAATCCTACAACTCAGTATCCACTAAATCAATCAAACCCTTGTGAATTGAAGTCTCAGTCAGCTCAGATCACTGTTACACTTACTCTTAACCTCAGCTTTAATTCCAAATCTACATCTTAGAAAAGAGCAAAGCACTAAGACATTACATTCATGTAAACCCTCAGCACAAATTCAAGAAGCTAAATGACTAAACTTCAGCTCAGTGAGTGTTAATTTGATCCCAAACTCACCCAAAATCTGAAATTAACAATCAAAAGACACTAATCGCTGAACATTAAGCTAAAATGAGTCAAAGCATCACAGATTCCAAAATCCCCCAAAATCCAAATCAACAATTTACAAAGAGACCAAAGACTAACCTGAGCCTTATCAGCAAGATGAACAACGAGACGACCAACAGGAAGAGGAGACTCATAAGTAAACGAATGATTAATCGACTCCGATCTCATATACCGAGAAAGAACACGGCCATCGGCGGTAAGACCAGCGATTGCAACACCGATATGGTCATCGACTTTGAAGATCTTCCTCTGATGAGAAGAAAGCTCAGATTGAGCTTTGTTAACACAAGCTAAGACGACATGGGAACGAGATCTGAGTCCAATTGCTGCAGATCCTTGCTTCACTGCTTCCATGGCGTATTCCACTTGGAATAAACGACCTGTAGGACTCCATGTGGTGACATCTGTGTCGTATTGGTTTCTGAACATTTTTGCTTCTTCTTCTTCGTCTTCTTCTTCTCTCTTTCTTCTTCACTCGTCGTCGAAAGGGTTTATAGAAACAGATGAAAAGCTCAGAAAACTTTTCTTTTCCTTCAAGCCATGGATGCTCTTTAGCTCTCTCTCTCTCTCTTTGATACAACTTAACAAATGGGCTTTAGTTTTGGGCCTTTAGTACTGGCTCGCTAGCTTATTGAGCCGAGATTTTAGGCCTATGTTTAAAAACTGGGCTTTATTTTTGGGTCGTTAGTATTGGCTCGGTAGCTTATTGGGCCGAGATTTTAGGCCTATGTTTACTTATTTATATTCGTTTGACCTTTTGGCTTGACGATAAAAATAAAATCTGAAACCAATCCGACAAACCAATCAAATTGTCATAAAATCCTAATGGATAATAAATTCTCTTATCCGAATATCTGAAATTGAAGCTAACTGAACTTAAAAAAACCAAATAATATATCCAAATTTTTTAGTTATCTTTAGTTATAATTTTGTTTCCAAAAAAACTAACTAACAAAAATATTCACAATAACCAAATTTTTTTTGTTATCTTATTTTTTTTTTTTGTCTTCAATTTTCTTTAGTTATAATTTGATATCTAAAAAATCTAAATAGAAAAAATATTCACAACAACCAAAAAAAATTAGTTATATTTAGTTATAATTTCATAGCAAAGAAATCTAAATAACAAAAATATTCACAGTAACCAAATATTTTAGTTATATTTTAAAAAATTAAACCAAATTTTATAAAAATTTAACGGAATTTTATTTTTATTTTTTCCTCCAAAAAACCGATCTGAATCCGACACCTAACGGTCGGTTATAATTAGTGGCATATCCCCTATATAGTAAAAGAGCAGTACACTTTTCCTTCAAAAAAATGTATAAACAAAATTACAAAAAACCATGTTTTAACCTTTGCTTTACATTGTCTCTAACGTATTTAAAGGGTACATTAGTATATTAATCCTAAACGGATCGGGTCGATTAAGAAAATTAACCCGGAATTGGCAATTGGATCTTTAGCAAAATGGTCTCCCGATGTTTACGGCTCATTCTAGCGAGAATCAATGTAACAAAATTAATTGGAACTCACGATACTACTTAAAAATGAAAGCGTAAATAAAAAGGATTTGAAAATAAGCACTACACTACAAAGATCAGCCATAGATTCCAAACGAAAGCAAACGGTTAAATTACATCAAAATACTTTGAGATCCTACCTTGAGAGGAGTGCCGATTTTTGGCTGATTTTTAGAAGAAGGAGGAGCCTAGAGACGAGAGAGTTGTTTGAAGAAAAGAGGAAGATGAGGAACATGCAGAAATTAGTGGAGTCGATTTCATGGTGTAGCTCCTCCAATTTGAAAAACAACAAAAATATGTTTAGGAGGAAGAAGAAGAAGAAGAAGACTCGATTTAGAGATCTTTCTTTTTTTTTTTTCTTTTTTTTTTTTTTGGGTTTGGTTCACTGATTTATGAGATTTTTCTTTTTTTTGAACAAATCTGATTTCTCAGATCTAATCGATAAAATTAAAACCCTATTACTGCATATCATAAATTTTGGTATAAAATAAAATAAAAATATGGTGGGAGATCTTCTTCTGTATATGTATCTATATAGTTGTTTATTTTATATTGTTCAAATCCCCTATAGTAAAAAATAAGCACACTTTTATATAGATTGATTGGAATTAAAAATTAATTCCATATTAAACAATTAGATATTTAACTGGGTTTGGATCTAAATCGGATACTTTATCAGCGGATTCTATTATTTCCATATCTAGATTTATGATTTCCTAATATTTCTATAACAGATTTAAAATAATACATTAAAAATATTTATTATTCTCCTTTTACCTTTATTTGATCTTATTTTAATTTACTATATTAAAAATATAATATAATATATAATAAAAATTCATCTTTTTCTTGAATATGTTGCAATTTGAAATTTTCAAAATGGATATATATAACTCAATTGACAAAGAAAATACTATTATAAACTTAACATATTATTAAAATAAAATTTAGATATCTAAAACGGTTTGGTTAAATATATTGGTAAAATCTAATCGGGTTGGTTAAATATTTTCATGAAATTTATATTAGACTTAATTGATAGAAAAAATTGTAAGACATACCAAATCGGGTAAATAAGTTGGACAATGGTTTTAAATCATTATAAACATGACAAGTATGCTTTTAAGTTCTAATTATGAATGAGCATGGATTTAACTTATCGAGCTTTCAATTTTAAAGATTTTTGGATTAGTAAATTTACTTATTTGAGCATATAATTTTTGAAAAAGTTTCAAATATAATTTTAAATGTTTTAAAATATTAAAATATTTTAATATTGAAACCTTTAAAATAATAAAATATTAAAAAATTATAGAATAATTCAAATATTAGAAACGGGTCAGAATATTGTTGCAACGGGTCAGAACATGATACACACCACTTAAGTTTTACAATTAAATACTTTTTAATACCAAAATAAATTATATGCTAATTTTTTTATTTTTACGGGTTGTTAAGAACATAACTAAATCAAAGTCTTATTAACAAAATATACTATTAAAATATTGATTAAATCGAACTTATAATACGAATAAGTTTTATTGATAAACTATATTATGTATCAAACTATATAAATCACAAGTAATTCACGGGTTATTTTGTTAAACTCACAATTATATAGTAGAGCGAATAATCAATAATATTTTTACGAATGCAATCTTTTACACATTGGTCATTCAAAACATATATCTGTTACAAACATGTATGATTCGCCATAATCAACTATATTTATTTAACACAACTTCATGCACTAACCATACTCGCTAATGTTTTTGGATAATATTTAATATAAATTTATTAGAAAAATTAGTTAGGAAAATAGAAAAATCATAATATAAAAATGATATATTTGTAAAAAAACAAAATTTAAAATCTATTATATTAACAATAGCCCGATAACTTTCCACTGCGCTGTAGCGCGGGTCCGATTCTAGTCTAATATTGTAATGTAAACAAATAACATGAATTTAAGTAAGTCCTTTTCAATAATGATCAAATCATCGTAGATTTGCTGTAATAACTTTCAAAGTACAGATTCAGTCGATTCAAAGACAGCAACACTCTTTAAATACGTAACATAGGGTTCATTCATAATCATACCTTTACACTCACACATATTATAATCAGTCCATATCACTCACCAATGATAAATTTATGATTAGTAACATAAATGACAAACCCAAATCACACAACCATATATGACAATATTAAATATCATAACGGTTTGAAATGTTCTAAGCACACATCTGTTGTGCTGGCATGGGAGACTCAGTTCTCTCACTAGTTACCCCTGGTTCAGTCTTGTTACATAACATCATAGCATCGTTTAGTCCAGCTGCGTTTTTGATTAGCTCAATTTGGTCGTCCTTAATTGGATCTTTGTTCTCAGCTATGGATTGGTATGGTGAAGAAACCGGGAGAAACCCCTTTTGTCGACATGTTTCGATCGATTCAACCATCATTTCCTCGAGGCTATACTTGAAGTTAAACCCCATTTCAGTAAGCTTCTTGGAACTGAACTTAATGCTCTTTAGATTCTCATCAACACCTTCAAACCTATTCCAAGAAAAGATTTGATTGCATAAGCAAAAAAAAAAGTTTCTCTAGTCATCTCTAAGGAGATGAGGCTTAAACCGGTATTAGTACTTACGTTGAAGGTACATTGTATTCGGGGTACTTTTGCCTGAGGAATTTGGAGATAGTAAGAATGGTTGCATCGTGAGAGGAACAAATATAACGTCCCTTGGCAGCATTGTGTTCGTACAAGAAGATATGAGCGTTACATAGGTCGTCCAAATGCACATACTGTCCTTGTCTTATGATCGAGTAATGAGCCTCATTCCCTGAAACATTATATATTTCATTCTTAATTTAGATATAAAATTTTCACATTCGGATAAAAGGAAGAAGCCCGCGCCCGTACGAGTGATGGGAGAGAGCGCGGTGATGAGGCTAGGCGGCATAGATGTTGTGATGAATGGACCGACCACCAATGTTGGAATAATGCTAATGAAATCTAAGCCTTTTTCCTCGGCGTAATCCCACGCTGCTTTCTCGGCTAGTGTTTTCGACACGAAGTACATCTGCGAAAAACCGGATATATCAATCAAATTTTAAATTACTTATAAAGAAGATCAGCTCTTATGAGAAAATTGAGTTTAACTAAAATGTATAATACCCATCCTGTCATTTTCTTGGACATGATAAACTCAAGATCACTCCAATCTTGTTCATCATAGACACTCTTCTTATGTTCTTCGACATTAACAGTTCCGGCAGATGAAGTAAACACAAATCTTCGTACGGTCTTTGCCTTAACACATGCTTTCAATATCCCCAACATTCCATTCACTGTCGGTTTTATCACTTCATTCTGATTCGCAAACAAAAAAACCTCAATTAAATATTAATGTGAAAACTATTAGAGAGGTACTTCAGAATTATCCATATACATTTTAAGAACTCACCTCAGGATCTTTAGATTCAAAATCCATGGGAGTAGCCACGTGAAAAACACCGTCACATCCTTTAATGGCGTCGTCGTAGCTTCCTTCCTCGGATAAATCAGCCTTCCACAAAGTAAGTTGCGTCTTGGCGTTTGGCAAGTCAAGAAGATGGTTCACTTTCTTCAAATTCCCTATATAACAAAATGGTTACTACTAAAAGTTGTATTTATAATAATCTTATTGTAATAAGAACATATAGATACACGTACCAGGATCACGAACAGTAGCACGAACAAAGTAACCACGTTCAAGTAACTTCATCACTAGCCATGAACCAATGAACCCCGAAGCACCGGTTACACACACAGTCTCTTTCTGACTAACCATTTTGTGTTGTGTTCTATGTAGCTAGCTTTAGTTTACAAATCCTCTCTATGCTATGAAGAGATTATAAAGAAGTCACTATAAAGATCAAGAATCGTTTGTTGAAAGATCTAAAGAGATGTGTATAGAGAGTAAACAAGAAGCTGCCGGGCACGTGATTACCAACCGGCCTAGCACGTGAGGAACGTTGGTTGGAGAAACAACACTAAAGAGATGTGTCTTGTGTATAGACCGTGTGGTACGTGACAATCTGGTAAGTTGATTTTATTTGTAGTTGAACCGGTGGGTGAAATATACGTTGACTCGAATTTTGTTTGGTGAGAGCGAGAGAGAGAGAGACAAGAGTTTCTATTTAAGTTCTTTCTTATTGAATATTTTACGTATAGAGCTTTAACATATAATTACGTACACTTTCAAATGTTATGGTAGCAAAATTATAAAATTGAATAGAGACAATGTAATTGATTATGACTAAGTATATGTATATGTGGTATATAGCTAAGTTTTTTGTGTTCAGTTATGTAATGATCAGTAAGGGCGTGTGTATGTATGACATTTTTCACGTCAATATCATTCGTGAGGTCGTTAAGACAAGAAGCAACCAATGGTCCGTATCATATATTTAAACTTGCAGAGATGTTTTATAGAGTTTAGTTACCAGAGGAGACAGTACATTTATTTCACCAAACACATTTGTTGTAATTGCGTGTTCGACGGGATCTTGTTACCAACATCTAATTGTACTTGGTTGATGAGAAAAATCAAAATAGTTCATTTAAAATATGTAATAGTAATAACTAAAATTAAAATTATTATCAATCCAAAATTCGAAAAAAAATTTCAAAATAATTTATAATGATATATAAAGATTTATACTTTTTACTAAATTAAACAAGTCGTACCCCGAATCAGATCCTAGCTTTGTATAACTAAATCAAATATACCAAATAAACTAGAATAATTAAAGTTATAATTGAGTACATGCAAAATATACATTTTTAATATGATGCTGATTCTATTTAATGTAAATTTTGAAAACTAATTCAACCTGAATCGATTTTTTAAAACTCAAATAAAATAGTATAATTATAATCAGTTTTCTAAAATTTTTAAAAGAAAAAAATACAGAAACCTCTATTTATTATTTTTGTTGCAAAAGTCTATATGTAATTAAATGTCAGGAAATTCTCATAAATACTATTTTATTTTTATTTTTGAGAATTAAATACTATTATTAATTTTATTTTCCAAAATACTATTAAAAATATATTTGTTCCAAAAAATACCACAAAATTAACACTAAATTTTTAACATCCAAAACTAAACCCTCCCCTAAAAATCTATATCCTAATAATAAAATAATCAATCCAAATAAAAATAAATAAATTTTTACATCTCTAAAAATCAATTTTTATATTTGTAATATTTTTACAAAAATAAAGTTTTGTGGTTACTTTTGAAAAAATAAACTTATTGTGGTTTTTTTTATTTTTAAAAATTTAAACATGGTATGTTGAGAAATTTCTCTTAAAAAAGTATATAATTAAAATAAATAAAATAAATTTATATTCTTACTTGTACCATCAGAAAAAAATTACAAAAATTTAAAGATACATACAGTGTATCTATCTCATAAAGTAAAAAAAATAACACGTGGAGCTCACCACATCCACGTGGATCCTAATACAACAGAGCATACACGCTTCTCTTTCAATTTGTATTTTCTTTCAGACGAACAAATAAAAAAGAAAGGTCAGCTCTCAAATTTGACTCTCCATAGCAAAAAACTTTGATGCAGTAGTAAAGAAGAAACCCCCAAAGCTAAGAAGCGTCTTTGATGTTGTAGTCAACCACAAGAAGAAGAAACTCTCCATCGTCTTCTTCACCTACTCGTTCCCTTTTCGTTTTCTCGATCTAGTTCTGCATTGCGTCGTCTTCATCGATCTCGAATCGATTTCGAATCGGATGGAGATGGTGTTGGAAGAGAAAGATGGATCTGATTGGATTTATAGAGGTGAAGGTGGTGCTAATCTCGTTCTTGCTTACGCTGGATCATCTCCACTCTTTGTTAGTTCTTCTTCGATCTCTCTCTCTTGCTTAATTTTGAATCCTGTAAAAGTTAAAGCAAGGTCGGTGAAATTTGATTTCGTAGTTCAGATTCTCGCCGTCATTGAACTTTTATCCTTTTTGCTTTATGAGTATTGCTTAGATTCTCTAGATTCTGTTTTAGTGGTCCTGAGGATGATGATGAATCAGAATCAGAAGAAGAATCAGAATCAGAATTAGGTTTGAAATAGTGATTGGCGATAGAAAATGGTGTGGCTATTGAATTGAGTAACTCTCATCTTCTCAGATTGATTAGTGTCTAAAGAATTACAGGATTGATTTGGTTTGATTATGATTTGTCATTCTTGGTGGAGCAAATCTGTTATCTTATCACTAAACTTGTATTTAGGTAGGGAAAGTGATTCGAATACAAAAGGCGCGGAGGAATGATAAAGCGAACAAGAATGTGAATGGCGTTGTTTCGGTTTTAACGAGTGATGAGCAGCTACTGTGGAGAGAAAACAAAGAGCTTATTTCATCTCCTAACAAGGAAGTTCTTGAGCAAAGATATGTTAAGCATGTGATCATACCACTCTTGGGTTCTAAACATGTAGATGCAGGAGTAAGTTCTGTTTATTATCAAATGGTCTTTGGTTGTTTAGTTTGTATTGGAGTTTTGTGGTGTGTTTATTTGTTTTTTTATATCTCTTCTTTTGCAGGTACGTGTTTCTGTGTCTAAGAAGTTTCTTGAGTGTGTTGATAAGAAAGTTACTAAGCAGCGACCGCTATGGCGTGTTAATGCAGCAAATGTTGATACTAGTCATGATTCTGCTCTTATTTTGAATGATCATTCACTTTTTTCTCAAGGTAATCGTTATCATCAGAAATCAGATTTTTTTTTTATGATTAAAGTTTTTTCGATGATCTCGTAAATAAGTAGTAACCATCTGGTGATATGTGTCAGGGATTTCTAGCAGTGGTGACTGCATTAGTGTTGAAATAAAGGTTTGATAAATCCTCTATTTTTTTTTTTTAATATTTACTAGTCCTTGTATTTCCCAACCTTGACCTTAACTCGGTGTCCTTAATTCCATGAAGTAGCCCAAATGCGGATTTCTTCCGACATCAAGGTTCATATGTAAAGAAAACATGCTCAAAACGAGTGTAAGCCGCTTCAAAATGCATCAACTCTTAAAGATGGAGTATAACGAGGTAAAGCAAGTCATTGGTGGTTTATAATCTTAATTGAACTTTCAAAGTCTTAGAAGTATGCGACTGTTGTACAGATATCTGAAGAAAGTGAATATGATCCTCTTGATCTGTTCTCTGGATCCAAAGAGAGAGTTTTGGAAGCTATAAAAGCCTTATATTCTACTCCCCAAAACAATTTCCGTGTATTCTTGAATGGTTCTCTCATATTAGGGGGTTCGGGAGAAAGCACCGGGAGAACCAGTCCTGAAATCGGGTATGCCTTTGAGGATGCTCTCAAAGGCTTCATTCAATCAGAAGACGGTCAGAGGACAAAGTGCTTTCTACAACTAGTATCTGACGCTGTTTATGACTCAGGAGTGCTTAATAGACTTCTTGAAATTCAGAAGCTAGACAAATTAGACATTGAAGGAGCGATTCATTCTTATTACAATATTATCAACCAGCCTTGCCCTATTTGTAAAGAAGCTAGGCCATTTGAGGCGAAATCGTCTCTACATGCTTTACCTTTAGATGAAAGCTTGAAGATAGTGAAAGAGTATCTAATTGCTGCAACTGCCAAAGACTGTAGTCTTATGATCAGTTTTCAATCAAGAAATGCTTGGGACTCAGAATCTCCATGTGATTACGTCTCTCTGCAGTCGACCAATCAAACGTTTGATTACAAGGTATCATCAATTTTTACAAATTATTATATTCTATGGTGAAATAAATATTAGAACATGCTGCTAAGATCATTGGTTGGAATGGTGAATCAGTAGTCCTGATGAGAAAAGGGATTCATTAGATAATAATCGGAGTTTTCAGGATATATATATTTGATATTTGGATTGGGAAATGTAGGTACACTTCATTGATCTAAGCCTGAAACCATTAAAGAGAATGGAGGCATACTACGTACTGGATAAGAAGATAATTAACTTCTACAGTCAGAAGCATAAGATCGAAAGCACGTCGAAACAAATCGGCAGCTCAAAACCTTCCCACGTCTAAGTTACCAATTACTTTTTATTGTTGTTGTTACTGTTGTAAAACATAAAGCCGTAAAAGATGAAATGTTTATTTATAATTTGTTGGAACGATATCTCCTCTCCCTGGTCTTTCATCGCGCAACTCAGACACTCGGGCATGGAGGGTAGTCGTTTCCTGGAGATGTTTCCCTGGTCCAGAATGCTCTCCATCAAGTATTGGATTGCTTGTAGACACAAAGATGGTGGAGCATAGTCTGTGTTACTCGCCTTCGATGGAAAATGTTGTAGTCATCGATTTTCCGATCTGTTGTGTCTATTGAATGGTGTCACTGTCACGGTTGGAATTGCTTTTTTCTTCCTTGATACTATTAAGCGGTGCAACAATATTGAAATGGATTTTTCTTTGTGCTGAAGCTCAGCTATGTGTCTGCTTAGGGATGCAGGAAAGGTGTACATAGCTTTTAGCTCGCTGCTTTCAATCGTTCCCTTGGTTTGTACTCTGTAATCGAGTAACACAGACTGTACTCTGTTATTTTGAGCTCTGTTTTGTTTTTGATCTTGTCTCATTTGTAGTTGTACTAAAAAGTGTTCTCAGTCTATATATTAACAAAACTTTAAGATAAATTTTATAATTAAATTATAATATAATTTCAAAAATAGAAATTAGTATTTATTACATTTAATAAAATTTCATAAAATTTGTCCCTATTAAATTAAATATTGATCCAGTATCTTTATATAATTTTATTTGTTCTAAAATTTAATAAACATATATATTTTTCGTATATGTTGTAATTTGAATTTTTGAAAACGGACGTATATTACTTAACCGATACAAAAAATTGTATGTACTAAAGTATTGATAATTGTGTAGGGTCATGTAATGGAGCAATTTTTTTTCTTTTGAAATTCGGAGCGGGTTATAATATACATAATTATGATTATAGGTTTTTTACGGCTTGTCTTTTATAGTCAATCTCACACAATATTTTAATATGAAATTAGACTATTTAAAAGAAAAATGTTATGCCGACATTATTTTATTATTTTGAATATTAAATTTATTTAATTAAGTTGATCAAATTACGATTATTAAAAAAAAAAATTGTCATGCAATATTCCACGGGATAAATCATAGAATTAACAATCAAAATATAGTAGTACAATCTTATATATAATTTTTTTAATAAAAAGTACATTTTAAAATATCGTCCCGCGGTATACCACGGGTTAAAATCTTTAAAATCTAGTTAATTATAAAACAATGAATGAATCAACCACAAAAAGAAACTAAAAACCTAATAGGCTTTAAGCATAACCTAACAATTTGCTTTCGTGAGTGATCTGAATTGTTACGCAAAACTGATATGTATTGCTAATGTGATCTCTATCAGCTTGAAAGCTATACTGAAAAGAGTTCATTTATATAAACTTGGAAATGAAGTGATTTTGAGTCTTGAGCAATCCTAAATTTGATAGTATTCTTTGGATCCGAGTTCTTTCTATAATAGCTATATGAATTAAGTCGTGTCCCTCTCAACAGTTCAAGACACGAAAAGAACATACAGTAAAACCTCTATAAATTAAAATTCGATAAATTAATAATTTCAATAATTTAATAAAAAAAATCAGTGTAATTTTAGACACTTTTCGATAAAATAATAAGATAATAATTTTTTTTGAAAATTCTTTGTAAATATATGGTCCCAATATTACTATAAATTATAAAATTATTAATATACATCTATATACATGTAAACAATTTAGTGAAATATGACTATTATGTTGTTATTTATTTTCAAATTTAGATTAATTTTGTTACAATTAAATTCTAATAGATTTCATGTATCAAAATTTTATAGTGCTTTATTCACTCATGATGATTGTTGTTTTTGTTGTAATTGATTCTAAACAAATATTGATTATAATGATTAAATTTTATTTTGATGTATATATTTTTTTTAAACTTACCAAATTTAAAAAATATCTCTATGAATTAATAATTATTAATTTAATGATAAATTAATACCTCTATAAGTTAATAGAAATTTATGGTCCAAAAATTATTAATTTATAGAGTATTGTAGATGTTTCTCTTCTACTATTGTTATGCTCTTTATTGCTTTACTAAAACATAATAGACTAATTGTCATTTTTTTTGGTATGAGGAGGGCCTCCCTCAATAACTAATTGTCACTTAGATATGATATTATGAATTTATGATCTAAAACCTTTTTGGTTGTATCATATCAAAATAAATGTTCTCACAATACTATCTATTAAAGATTGAATACATATTAAATGTTTGGATGTATTCAATAATATTTTACCTTGTTTTATGTTTCAGTCTCTGTCTTAAATGTGCACATCATCCAATCCCTTTAAGAATTGTACCTTTTTTCAAAAGTTACAGTGTTTACAATTTTTATTTATTTATGATAGCTACAATCTTTGATATACAGGCTTCATGTTATAAAATTCCCCCTAGAATATTGTGCATTTTAGTTATATAAAGTGTTTACTGACATTTATGTTCTTTTAATGTAAGTATGCATTTTTAGATGTATGGATTTGTTGGGAAAATGGAAGATGCAAGATCATCCAAAAGTGTAAAAACATGAAATAAATGTTATTTTAGAATGTAATTTGATTTGAAAATGATTGAGGTGCCATGAGAGGTGCTCACAACAATTTTAATCAAGCTAATAAAGTTATTCATATTTTAAAAGTCCTTTGGAAGAATGCAGAAGCTAATGGCCAGACACTAGACTACGTCTGGTAGTCTTGCAAGTAGGTAGTCCAAATGAGAACTTCTATTTTTTTACATCTTCTAATTAATTTAATATATGATTCTCATCAATAAAAAGCCGGGATACGCATTGAAGAGCCACCTCGAATACTTCAAAGTTGCCTAACGTACGATAAAAATTAACTCTAAAACGCTGTTGGGTTTTCATTTTTGAAATAAGGAGATGATCTCAGTTCAAACTTCTTACTTAACAATATTTACAGTAAAAGGTAATGAATATAACAGAATTGGGGTACACCACATAAACTAATGATTATCTCATGATATGGCAAAATAGTTTTTTTTTGCCATATCATGTCTTAATAGAACTAAAAAATAAGACTTGCTTCTTTTTTTTGTCAAACAATAAGACTTGTTTTTGGAGCAAAAGTTATAGGAAAAAAAATCACCAATCCTAATACACAATTTGGAGAAAATTTAAAAGAAATTGTAATTTTAATTACCCAATGTATCCAAATCAAAATCAAACAATATTTTTAGAAGAGTCTTACAATTATTACTAATGTTAATATTTTAATCATATCAAACTTCTATATTTTTAAAAATAATTTGGAAAATCTGCCATTCCATACCCAATGTAACCCTGAGTGTTCAATTCATACATAACATTTATCTATGTGTCAAACATGAAAATATTATGTATTGGCACATATAAAAATATCAGCTATGAATTGAACACTCATGATTAGATTGGGTATAAAATGACTATTCAAAGTAATCACTACTCTCTCTATTTCACAAAGAGTGACATTCTAACATTTTCACACAAATTAAGGAAAATAACCAAATTTCATTTTTACCCTTAATTAATACACTACATACTTCCTCTATCTCACACAAGTGTCATTCTAGAGTTTTAATTTTATTTCACAAAGAGTGTCACTTTAGATTTTCAATGCATTTTTAACACAAAATTTTCTAATTTTACCCTTACTCTAAAATTAATTAAATTACTAAACACATATTAAATAGGGGCATATATTTATAATTCAATATTTTTATAATTTGTGTGCAATGTGTCAAAGTGACAGTCTTTGTGAAACCGACGGAGTAATACCCTCTTTCTAATTAATAAGCTGGAATAATAGGGATTAAAAAGAGATTAAGTCTTTAAAATCTGCTTTGGAAACACAAAACGACACTCTTTATGAAACAAGATTAAAACCTTAAACGACACTCTTAGTAAAACGGAGGGAGTATTATTCAAAGTAATTATCACTATTCAAAGTTAATGTGATTTTTTGATATTATTCACTTGAAAAAGAAAGAAATTTAATTTATAATATTTAGAAAAGAAAAATTGAATTTTTTGGTATATTTATATTTTTTTCTTTATTTATAAATAAATTAAGGCATTTTTTGGTCAAAGTTTTGAAAATTTAAAAATAATAATATTGGTAAAGTCAATGTTAAAAATACATTTATTCTAAAAATATTTTTTTATGTTATATTAATGTGCCCAAGACTATGTATTGTATTGTTTGACTAAGTTGAACATAGGTACGATAATAATAGGTAATTAAAAGATTTACTATTTTCATATATAGTTCTTGAGAATGGCAACACTATAGGTATCCCTTCGTAACTATATATACACACACACAAAAAGAGAGAATATTGAGAAATAAATGTTTTTGTTATCTCTATCATTCAACGAGAAAACAACTTTCAAAAATAAGAAGAAAGGATTAATGATGAAGCCAACCTTTGGTAGAGTTTTTTTTCATCAATCCTTTCTTTCTTTTTTTTGTAAGTTATTGATCTCGCAATCTTGTATGATATTTCAAATCATATGCAATCATGTATAGAGTATGCTTCGAGTTGTAGCCTGATAGTGATTTTTTTTTCTTGCACCTGTTATTCGATTCATACTTGTTTTAAAAAAAAAATTGTGATTTTTGTATATCGGATGTAAAATAATTACAACTATCCTTTTCAAATCGTATTATTGTTCTTGTAAATATGTACCTATATATAGTAGGTTATTCATATAAATTTTGCTCACTCTAATCATGTATTTTTAATTTAGACGTCCATTTAATGCGTTCTTTTGGTATGAGTCACTTGTTGGATTTTAGAGTTAAAGGTAAAATTATAAAATGATACGGCAAGGATAGGTTTGGGCATTTGGATATTCGGATCGGGTATTTCAGGTTCGGATATTTCGGGGTTAATCATATAAGAACCTAATAGGTATTTATAAAATTTTGGGTCGGGTTCGGTTCGGTTCCTTTTCAGGTTCAGGTATTTTGGGTATTAATTTAAGAAATCCGATTAATACCCAAAATATATTTGGGTATGGGTAGTATCTATCTAAACCAATCCGAACCTACCCAAAGTACCCATAAAATCCGAAATTAGTTGTCAAAACAAACAAGTTTTCTAAGGAAAATATTACCAAAAAAACATAAATTTAACCATGTTTTGAACATTTCAAGCATTAATCAAGTCATAACTTAATTAATCAATTGATTTTGTGAAAAGTAAACGCGAATGAACGATTTACAAACACAAAATTCCAATTTTTAACAGTTTAATTGATATTTTTTTACCCGAATTTTTGTCAATAAAACCCAAATCCGAATCAAAACCTCTAAAATCGATTTGGAGAATTTCTAAGAACACAAAAGTCCCGATTTTATTTTTAGGATTCACAGAAATTTCTAAAAACACAAATTCAATTGATCTTGGTTAATTAGGTAGAATTATATAGTCTAGGTGGAATAGGGAAGAAAACAATTTGTTCAGGTAGAATTGGATAGTCTGAAAATATAAATAGATCATAACTGAAACCATATACTATAGGGGCTAGATATAGGCAACCCTATATAAATATTGTTATAACCAATATGGGTTACGAAAGTGGTTGAATATAGGTAAGCTCAAAAGTCCAAAAGAGATGATTAATATTTGTACAAATATATCATGTAAGAAGCAAATTCAAGCTCAAATAAATTGAATAGTAAAAATATATAATAAAATTGATGTATTGATGATATATTGATAGTAAAAAAAATCAACTGTTATTTACACAACAAACGTATTAAAAGTTTTTTTAAAATAATGAAACTCATAAATCTAACAATAATATTTCTTATAGTATTCATGTATGATTGTGAAGATTTAGGAGTGATAAAGTAAAATGCGGACATGGATTCCGTTTCCATGAGTATGTCTAGGGTAGTCAGGCAACAAAGCAGTCCGCCTCATATACGCTGGATATGGATTCCGGAGCTTCAGTGGCGGTTGATTAGTGTAGGCAAAATCTCGACAGCCGGATTAGGGCGAACACTTTTTTCTCCTGTTTGTTTTTGTTGATCTAATATAATTTCAGGCCCAAGCCAATTGGAATGAGGTTTTTTAAATAAAGATACTATTAAATAAGAAAACAAAAAGGTTAAATGCAAGAGGGAGATTTTACACATGTTGGGGTCTCAATGTATGTACGTAAACCTCTAGGTCCTCTACTATAATCAATCTTATATATAGTTGGCTTTGCATAGATTGTACATTTCACAAATCAAACCCTACACACATTCAAAACTCTCCCTTCCATCTCACTCACTCACTGCATTTTATCCTCTTTTGTTCGGACATGACTTTGAAAAGAACAGAACACACAGTTTCATTAACAAGTAAACAATGACTTGGCGACAGCACGCTTCCTTGAATGACGTACCAATCTTTGTCAAACCCAATCTTTCACAAATCAATCTTCCAAATTCCAATACTTATAATACTTAATAAGAAAGAGGTGTAGTAGAATCTTGCCACTCATATAAAACAAATCGTTAATCCACCAATTCATTGACCAAGACCAGAATAAAAAGAATAAAAACACACACACCAACTCTTTTCTTTTTGTCTTAACGTGCACCAACTCTTCATACAGTGACAACCTTAAAGGATAAACGAAAATTTTCCAGGTTCACCAACCAAGAAGACATTTGTCTCTTGTCCCATATATATTCTCATCCATGCAAAGGCCACAAGACCTCATACATACTTCCTTAATGGATTCTTTATCATCAGTAAAAATAGTCTCAAAATGCTTCGTGAAACCCAAAACCATACCAGAAGAATCAAAGCAACCATACTATTTATCTCCATGGGACTACGCAATGATCTCTGTTCAATATATACAAAAAGGTCTTCTCTTTCACAAACCACAACTTTATTCCATTGACACTCTTCTTGAGAAGCTGAAAGAGTCTCTTGCCGTCACGCTAGTCCATTTCTACCCTCTTGCGGGTCGCTTCTCGTCGCTGACAACCGAAAACCCGAAATCGTATTCTGTCTTTGTGGATTGTAACAATAGCCCTGGAGCTGGCTTCATCTACGCGACTTTGGATTTATGTGTAGAAGATATTGTGGGTGCAAAGTATGTTCCTTTGGTTGTTCAGTCTTTCTTTGACCATCACAAAGCTGTGAATTATGATGGACACACCATGAGCCTCTTATCTGTCAAGGTTTGTTTATTTATCTCTTTCAAGAAGGATTTTTAGGTTTCTAGATTTTTTTTTAGGTTTACCATATATGAAAAAAAAAATAGTTCACAAAATAATGGGTAAGTTATATGTTTTATTATTTAGTGTGCCTAAACCTTAAATATCACTTATAATGAAACAGATGATCACTTATAATGAAACAGAGGGAGTAAATAATAACGTTGGAACCATTATATTTTATTAATTTTTATATAGATTAAATAAAAAAATCAATTACCAACCGCAAAAATACATTATTTTATCGAAATGTTAATTTATAGAGTATTAATTTATAAAAGTTATATTGTCTCTTTTGAAGTAAATTTAGGTTTGATTTTTTTTTCTTCATCTTTTGTTTATTTTCATTGTATGGTTTGGCTTTTTACTGATTTGTCTGGTTTGGACCGGTTAAAATTGATTAGACACTCTAGTTCGTTGTACAGCTCAAACTAAATATAATTTGGAAAACTTGATACGAAGCTAAGGTTGGTACAACATGTGTAGGTGACAGAACTGGTAGATGGAATTTTCATAGGACTGTCAATGAACCACGCAATGGGAGACGGCACTGCGTTCTGGAAGTTCTTTACTGCTTGGTCCGAAATATTCCAAGGACTAGAGAGCAACAAAGGAGATGACTTGTATCTTAAGAATCCACCATTCTTAAAACGTTACATCCCTGAAGGATACGGTCCACTCTTCAGCCTTCCTTATAGCCATCCTGATGAATTTATCCGAACCTATGAATCTCCAGTTCTCAAAGAAAGAATGTTCCGTTTCTCATCAGAAACCATAAAATTGCTTAAAGCAAAGGTCAATCAAATATGTGGAACAACCTCCATTTCGTCTTTCCAATCGCTAACCGCGGTTATATGGAGATGCATAACTAGGGCGCGGAGATTACCTGTAGATCAAGAAACTAGTTGTAGAGTAGCTGCTGACAACAGAGGAAGAATGCATCCACCACTTCACAAGGACTACTTTGGAAACTGCCTCGCTGCTTTGAGAACAGCTGCAAAAGCCGGTGAGCTAATGGAGAATGATCTTGGATGGGCTGCTTTGAAAATACATCAAGCGGTAGCTGAACATACTAGTGAAAAAGTATCTCAAATGATTGATCAATGGTTAAAGTCTCCTTATCTTTACCACATTGATCGGCTTTTTGAACCGTTGAGCGTTATGATGGGAAGCTCGCCGAGGTTTAACAAGTACGGTTGCGAATTCGGGATGGGGAAAGGACTGACGCTTCGAAGTGGTTACGCGCATAAGTTTGATGGGAAGGTATCAGCTTATCCAGGAAGAGAAGGAGGGGGAAGTATAGATTTGGAAGTATGTCTTGTCCCGGAGTTTATGGATGCTTTGGAATCAGATGAAGAGTTCATGTCTCTTGTTTCTCTTTGATACATTACTAAGTTTTTTCAGCATCTTCTGTTCGTCTATCACTTTTTATTTTCCTTAATTTCAGCCTTTTTTCTTTGTTCACCAATCAATTATAGAGGTTGGTAATCATATTCAAGAAACCGTTAGATTTCCTAAGGATATTTTTAAAATGTGAATGACAATAATGATAGATATAAATTTTCAATTAAAAGAAATGTAAAATTAAAGATTCCCTACATTTACAATGAGCTAGTCTCTCAAATTAAATTAATAGATCGATGTAATATCGAATTCCACATAGTCTCATGTTTTGTGCATGAGTACTTGTAAGATCGATGAACTGTTTCACACCCGCCAAAATAATCCGTAAAGAGATGATTACTGAATGTATAGATTCGACTGTACATCCATAATTGTGACAAATTATTCTGCATCATACATGTTTCTTCAATGTTTTGTTCCAACATTTTGCGACTACTTTGCCACTCTAAACCGTAACGAAAAATCGTACATTTGTCTATTTTGACCACATCATTTTAGTGAATATGGTGATTTTCTTGAATATGGTGACAACTTATAAATATAACCCTGTTTATCTCTTTATCCATCCTCATGTTCTAAATGCCAGAAAAGAAAACGCAAGCCTTTCAAACACAAAGGCTCTCGGTACGACTATAGAACTTTTAACTCCAAATTTCTAGTCCTCCATAGTCTATAAACTCAGCTAACTCCAAACTCAGCTAATATCAGCTAACTCCAAACTCGAATAAGTCTAAAATTCTAGTCCTCCATAGCCTAGAAACTCAGCTAACTCCAAACTCGAATAAGTCTAAATTTCTAGTCCTCCATAGCCTAGAAACTCAGTAACTCCAAACTCGACCTGTAACTCCAAACTCAGCTAATATCATCGTAATTTATTCACGAAGTAACAGTACACAGAGCACGAAACCATAAAATCGACGAAACAACAGTCGCATCACTCGTTCACATTCGAAAGGATTTATTGGAAAACAAGAGAAATATATATAAAGATCTCTCATCATCATCGTCGATCTCACCATAGTCCCTGAAACATACACCAATACCAATCATTCTTCTAACAAAAGATCAAAGATTCATTAACCTAAACCCCCACAACAACAAACTCTCACCGAGAACTCGATCAAATCAAGTGGTTGGCGCAAGAAGAGGCAAGATCAAGTTACGAACATGAGCTTGATGATCCTCAAGACGTCCTTTAACAGAGTCACCATCCCAACGCACAAGAGTAGGTACTCCGGTTAACTTAAACCGTGGATCAACCCTCCACGGATGCGCCGGAGTCCTCCACGTCGGTCTATCTCCGGCGTAAGCACGAATCAGATTCACTTCCTCAGGAAACTCCTCTAGGGTTTTGTAAATCACAGGTTCAGCTCTAACACAGTCTGATTTCACACAAACACAAACCAAAACCATTGATGAATCGATTTCAACTGAAACAAAAACCCTAAGAGAGACAGAGAAGGACCTGGACACCAGCTTCGACCGGTGGTGGGTTCATCGTCGGCGAGGAAGAGTATGAAATTGATCTTGGTGCGGTTGGTTTCGTTGGATTTCAAATCTTGTAGCACTGATTCTAAGGTTGATGGATTCGCGTCTATCTTCTTCACCGTCATTGTCTTCTTCTTCTTCTCCGATGATTCTGATTTTGTTTACCAGTAGTTTTGTTAGTATTCTGATATTTTCTATCCTTTTCTTAGTGGGCCGCGCTACTCAAATTAAGGCCCAAATTATTATTTTTTATATATATCATAAAACATACAATGTATACGCAGTTGCATAGAATTTGGTATTTTTAATATATGTACACGATGGATACTCCGCTCAGCTCTTGTAGTAACACACCGAACTGCTACGCTATGAACTCGTCGCCAATACTATAGTGTTACATTACCACATTGCCTGATCAAAGTTTAACGCTTTCCGACTAATGCCAGGAGGTAATCAAGTCGTTTATATTTCTGATTACAAGTAAACCAATTGGACCTAAGTCCAAATGAATAGAAAGTCATTAACCCTTTCATCTTATTCTTGAAAGTCATTTTCTCTTTGAATAATTGTTGGACATGTATAAGTCAGCTTTACTTTCTTCTTTCTTACTATTCTCGATGAGAATGGTGTTTTTCTCCTTCTCTCTATTTGTGTGTATACATAGTTACGAAGGGGTGCTTACAGACAAAGCCGGCCTGTGAAATTTGGGGCCCATTACAACAAATTTTTTTTATAGGTTTACATAAATAAAATTTTAAAGTTAAGACCGAATCTTAATTTTTGAGAGAATGGGGCCTCTTTTTGTATTAAAAAAGATAAAATTTAAACATTTTGTCCTAATCTTAAAATTTAACAAAAATGGGGCCTAATTTTGCAAAAAACAAAAAAAAATTGGGACATAATTTTCTTACTAAAAAGGTCAAAAAAATTGGAGGCCCAATACATATGTTTCTTACAAATTGGTGAAGGGCCGGACCTGCTTACAGATTTATTATTTTCATCATAGATCCATTTGCTTACTAAATTTGGCTAAATCTCTATCTAGCTATTACTCTCTCCATTTTCACTATTTGATTTGAGCCAATCCCTTATATAGTAAAAAATAAGTACACTTTTCCTCCAAAAAGAAAAACTAACAAAATTACAAAAAAGCCAAAACTATACCCTTCACGCACAACTTCCTCACGTACTTAAAGGGTATTTTAATAATTTATTCGAAAACGGGTCGGGTCAATTACAAAATAATAACCCGACACTAGAAATTGGATACCATCTTTGAATAAAAAGCAACCGAGTGTTTTGGCTCATCCTAGCAAATTTTGTTAATCAAAACAAAAAGGACATCGAGTTACGGCCCATTTACATATAAATTAAATGCAAACCAAATGATACAGCCCAAATAGCAAAATTTAAACTTGCACGTAAAGCAAAAATGTCAACGGTTCGTTTAAATGTACGCCAAACTCCTTTTTTTTTTTTCAACAAATGTATGCCAAACTACCATGAAAAATAAACTTGATTCATCATGCATCCAAATTTAAAAGTTTTATTTGGTATAAATCGGTTCTAAGTTGAGCAAATTTTTTTTTTTTAAAGCTTCAAAATATCATAGTAGTTAAATTTTAAAATGTATATAATATTATAAATATTAAAAATATTAAAAATTCAAATATTAAAAATATTAACTGATAATTTTGTAACGGGTGAGAACATATATTAAAATTATTGATAATTATGCAACGGGTCAGAATATAATACACACCACTTAAGTTTTATAACCAAATACTTTGTAATACCAAATATTACATAAATATGATTTCAAATTATATGGAAAAATTATTCACTTTTAGTGAACACTTATTATTAAAAATATATTAGTTATGTATCCACCAAAATTTAAACTATATGGATTAACGAAAACAGAATAATTACCCCATATTCCCAATTGCAACTATTTAATCAATAATATTGATTTATCATGAAAATTTATCAACACAACTAGAAAAATTTCTCACTTGAAAAATGTTTTTGTTATTAAAAAAACAAGTCGAAACTTTTCCTTTGCGCTGTAGCGCGGGTCCGACTCTAGTTTCTACAATAATTTACCTGATGTTAGTTAGCCATTTAATAGACATGTAAATTATTGTTATAACAAAGTAGCTTATAATTTAGTTCAATATGGAAGCGTACATTCTAGCTTTTATAATCTCTTTTTTTTGTATGATTCTCAATTAATATAATAGGATTATTTTGACGGAAAAGTAATATTTATCCTCAATAATGAGTTCATTGAGTTATTTTCTGGTCAACAACAACAAAATTTATTTATATATAAATACAAGATATTCAAAAGGAGATTGATACTTTGCCTTAGATAACAAAATGAAAAGAAGAAAAAAAAAACACAAAAAGTGAATCATCTCGTTTACTGTAGTATCATTAACAAAAATCTCTCATATCAGTTACATGAAACCCATATTTGATGATTTTTTGGGGTAGCCCGGCCACACGCACTACCTTGTCACATGTATAAGCACACTACCCAATATAAAACATCGTTCGCAGTTTCATGTGTTCTTTTTATATAGACGTGACAGTGCAATTATTCATTAGTGGAATATGTTTGCTAAGTTTCTTGTGTTCGAAATTAATCAAACACACGATTCTCTTATAGAACTTTGGTTGAACTAACTTCCCCAACACATAAGCCCGAGATCTTACTGTGAAGTTTAGCCTCATCGGTACCGGAGCAGGCGGCGCCGGTGGTTCGACGATCACGATGGGTCCTTTCTTCTTCTTGGGCTTTGTTGGAATTGGTGCAGGAGGTGGTGGTGGGACTAAGGTTGAACCACTTCCATAGAGAGGAGTCTTGTCTCCTAATACATTCACCATCACTGTTCTTTGGCTTTTTCTTGACTGATAAAACTTCTTAATCTACAAAAGTAACAAAGAATAAATATGTCAAAATTGGTGGTAGGTCATCAAAACTATATACAACTCTTATTGTAAGACCAAATGGTAAAATGAAACAAAAATAAATTTATATTAGTTAAGATATCTTTTATTTTTCTTTAAATAAATAAAAAGTTCTAGCCGAAACCCATACATCATTTCAGTTCTGTACTTCCGTGACCAAAATAAGTTATATAGTTTTATTTAAATGTCATTTGAACCATCGATCTCTAAACTTTTACGAGAAATCTTTACTAATTGAACAATTAACAATTAGCCATTTTAAAATATTTTCAACAAAAAGCAAATTGAAGTAATCCAAGCTAAGTTATATAGTTTTCTTTAAAAATGTCATTTGAACCACTGATCTTTAAACTTTTACGAAAAATCTTTACACTAATTAACTATTAACACTTAGTTATTTTAAAATATTTTTAACAAAAAGCAAATCGAAATAATCCAAGAAAAAAATTGATTTTTGTCGGTTATACATATTTTAAACACAAATATAAAACTAAACAAACACCCAATAGTGCTCCTGATCAACCCATGTGACAATAATAGCCACCGACAACATTTAACAAAGACAAACCAAAAACTAAACCGAACCAAATCTTTTCACAAACCAAACCACAAAAAAGAACAAAGAGCATCTGGTGATAGCAACAAGACATGAAGACCAACATTGATGAACTATGTTATTATTAAAAACACATTTTAAAGGAGTTTCAGAATCTTTTTTGTAACTTACAGTGCCAGAACCAATAGTGATCTGAGAAAAACTAAGATCAATCGGAGAAGACGTGACATGAACACCAAAGAATGTACCAGTGTTACGGTACAACATTCTCAAGGTCGCGTTCATAGTGATCATATCAGTTCCTATACCTCCTGCATCTTGTCCAGCTTGAACCTTAAGTTGCTCAAACGTTATACTCTGCAAAACTCAATCCCACAAAACATAAGTAAGACTCTAGATCTGAACATACCCGATCTAAGTTCATCTAATCTTGATCTACAAGATCTTGGTACTAACCTTAACAAAGATCTTAGGTTTCTGAGGTTTAGCAGCAGCATAAAGAATCAAAGAGAAGAAAGCGAAAAGCAAAGAGAAACCAACAAGAAAAGCTAAGACATAACAACGACGAGGCAAAGCTTCTTGTCTTCTGTCTCCATCATCAAGAAGACCTTCTTCTTCAATCATTGCAAACTGTTTCTCTCCAGCATGGCCTTTGCGTTTAGAGCCGTTGATCTTGGAGAAACGGCTCGAGGAAGAGTGAGAGTGCGGTGGAGATCCCATCGGGCTAGTGAGTACAGGTGTTGAGTGGAACGATGTTGCTGTCTTCTCTCCATCGTGAGAGTCACGTGATGGAGATTGGACGAAGTAAGCTGGACGACGAGGAGATCTAGTTGGAGATGAAGCTGAGAGACTAGTCACCTCTGAGTCGGTCTTGGCGTGCATCTTGAGATTGAAAATGGAAGATGAAGAAGAAGATGAGAAGGCTTTGTTATGTGATGTGTGTGTATTTATGTATTATTGAATGATTAGTTAATAATAATGTTAGTGGATTCAAAGGGCCAAATTGCCCACTGGTTTGTATATTATTGTAACGCCGGCTTAGAGCATCATGGTCGCTTTTTTGTTTTCTTATTCTCATAATCAAAATTTGAGTAAGCTTAGTAAATATTTTTGTGCACAATTTGATTTGGATGGTATCAAAATTAGTAAGTAGATTTAAGCAGTGAAAAAGACCAATTGTGTCATTAATTTTCTAAATGTACTAGTTATTCTTTAGATGTTTATTTATTTCTTATGCTAGTTGCAATTATGTTGTTTTTTATGCATTGTATTTCTGTTTGATTATATAAACATAAATGTACTAGTTCTTTTGTTGTTTAGTTATTTTTTAAGAGTTCAAATATTAATTATACTTAAACTTTTAAAAGAGTTTGAATATTTATAATATTTTAAACATTCTTAAAACATAAAGAAAAACTACTATAAAATACCTTATGTTACTTTTATTTGGACGTTTAATACCTAATTTTTTTCTTGGAATAAAAGTACTTGTTGTATCAAATTAACGTAAAATAAAGCTTTCTATTAAAAATTAGTCTAATCAAACACACGACTTAACATACATTAACATGTGTGACAAAATTCCTAAGTTGGGTAAAGTTTAAATTTCAGTTGCACGTCGTGAGACCCTTGCTTGAAGAGAGGATTAAATGAATTGATTTGATCACCTATGTCACTAAAGTGCACTTATCTTTTCGGTCAAAGGTCTTGAGAAAACTCTAGATTAAGCGTGTTTATGCTGGAGTAGTCCAGGTGTAACACCCGTGTCTGAAATTTTGGTGGTGTAGACCGATTCGAGGAACGTCAGTGGGAAGGTTGTTAAAAGGTGAGGACATGGGTTTGAGGAATGTCAGGCGCACAAATAACCTACCTGGTGGGCCAGGAGGGCATGTGGGCTAGGAGAGAGCCTACATGCCAGATTGGGCCCAGAGGAGAGAGGTAAGGATCGATGCGCTGCAGCACTTGTAGTTGCTACATGGCGGGGTGTGTCATGTGACAATGGTTCCCACGGGATGGGTTGTTACACCAGGGATGGGTGAACATCCGGGAAGTGAGGCCAAACACAAGGAAAAATCATGTGGCCATTAGTAGGGTCGGTATACAAGTCTTTAAAGCCTCTTGAATGTAGCAAACCAGCCGTCGGATATGGGGCTCACATGCGTAGTGAGAGGACGTAAGACCTCATTAAGAAATATGAAAGCATAGACTAAAAATGAACATTGGACCCACTGGGAAATGTGACGATCTAGGCGTTACACAAGTTTTGAAATATATATATATATCATATGTTTACATGAAAATACTATTATATTGACATAGTCTAGTGGTAAAGAAGTTGTTTTGTATCAACATAATTTGGGGTTCAAATTTTCCTCCAACATAATGATTCTTTTTTTCAAAGGAGTTAAATAATTTTCCAATAAATGCAAAAGCATTAAATGTTCCACAAAAACTTTACAAAATACTAATACAGTATATATATTTGATATAATTAATGTATATGTTTATTGTTATGATTATTGTAAATTAAATCAAATATTTGTCAAAATTAGATTAAAAAAAGTGAGAATATTATACTATCCCATTAGATATAAATATATAATTAAATTATAAATAACCTTGCCATAATTAAATGATTTTATTTAAAGAAAAAAAAATACTATATGATTGTACAAGTATGAGATATTTGAAGTTATTGTGAGGCAAAATCTAATTTTCACTAAATAAAATATGCATTGTGTATGTATCTATTTAAAGTTAAAATTTCCCCCATAAATACTTAGATATGTTAGACTTGCACACTTGTTTGAGTATTAAAAATGCATACATTATATATATAGTATAAACTTATATATAATTTTATAGTGTAGAAAAAACATATAAGTCAATTGCACTAAAAATGAATGATTTGAAATATATATTTTTTTTCCTATAAGCTGCCCTAAGAAAGAAGATTTATTCTTATAAATTATTTGCAAATAATAAGTGACAAGTGATATTGTTTGCCATCTGTCATATGATACATTGTATTAACCTCCACATATGGTTAGGAGAAAATAAAATAAGGGAAGAAAAAAGAAGATAAGATAATAACAATAATGTCTAAAATTACTATGGAAAAAATAAAAAGATATTTTAACAATAAAGACTATATAAATTGTGTCTTGATCCAAATCCATCTTATGTTCAAAGTTCTGGGTATATCTATATATATAGTTCTTAAATAGTCATAGTCTTTCTTTACAAGTCTTTCAAAGGATTGTGAAAACAATTTTTTTTTATTTTTTTTTAACTTTATAGTATATCTTTCTAGAACTAGCATTTGGTGTGATTTTTTTCTTCGAAAATGAACTTGGGAGAGAATGCTAGTGTTGTTTCATCGTGGAGCAAGGATGAAGATATTGTTTTCGAGAGAGCCCTTGCAATTTATGCCGATGAAACGGAGATTCGTTGGGAAGAGATTGCTTTAGTTGTTCCAGGGAAAACTATAGAACAAATTATAGAGCATTACAATGTTTTAGTTCGTGATGTTATGATGATTGAATCTGGTCATGTACCTCTTCCTGCATGTTATGAACTTTCAGAAGAACCAAATCATCGTAAGAAACATGGCAAATCAAAAGCAAAGCAACAAAGAAAAAAAGGGATTCCTTGGACATCAGATGAACACAGGTTTCTTACTATTCACTTGTTTTTAAATATAATAATCCTTGTGTTTATTTTTGTGTAATTTGATAACAAAATTATGGCATAATCATTTACTTGGGCTACTATTTTGTTTGTGTTTTGTTTATAATACAAATAGACAATTTCTTCTTGGTTTGGAGAAATTTGGGAAAGGTGATTGGCGTAGCATTTCTCGTCACTGTGTCTTGACAAGAACAACAATGCAAGTTGCAAGTCATGCTCAAAAGTACTACAAACGTCTTAACTCAAAGAACAAACACAGAAACAGGAAAAGCATTCATGACGTTACACTTGCAGAAGACAAATACATCTCACCAAAACAAAGAGCAATCACATGGCAAAAATTTGCTTCTACTTCCAACAATCAACCCATTCCAACTGCTTCGCAACCAGCACTCGGCCTTCCTATACATGGACAACCTAACATATGGAGCACACAAGCCACTCAAGCCATTTCACAACCACCAGCACTAAACCATCCTACATATGGTGTACCTACTACCATATGGAACGCAGCCGCTCTGCAACCATCATCCAATATTCATGTGTATGGAACGTCCACCATAAGCCAACCAATGGTTGGAACAATGCTCTCACCTTTTGGAAGAAACGTGAACCTTTTGGCTCAACCTCACATGAATTCTGGAGTTCATTCTGTACCTTCCAACTCGGGTCCTAGTGCACCGATCAACATGGGTTCAATCCCATATGGCACAAATCCCAAAGATAGGTCTTAACCTTAATGTTTTTTGCTTGTTTTAAGGTGTAAGCGGGATACCTAATCCATCTAGTTGTTTATTATGGACTATTTGATGTTTTTATTGTATCATATATTTTGGATTCATGTGTTTTTTTTTCTTGTATCATATACCTATTTAATTTTTAATCCAGCTAAACATAAATTAAAACTCAAAATACTTCTAAACATCATCATTACTAGGATTTACCATGTGGTACACCATAAGTCCATTATTTTTATAAATCATTTAAATTTAAATGAGTTAGTAAAATGATATGCTTGAGTTTTTTGGTTAGATAATATAAATGTTACTATGTTATATATATTTTTTTATTTGCAAACATTTATCCCGTCTTTCTTTTGTAATATAAATGTTACGATGCTATATATGTTTTGGTTTATTTACAATAATTAATAGTATTTGTTAATAAAAAAAATTATATGGGTTGACTTTGAAAGAGCTATAGATATGTGTATTTAAAAACATATAATGAAATACAAACTCAAATTGTCTAAAATAATTATATGAATAAATTAAAATTATATGGGTTGACTTTGAAAGAGCTATAGATATGTGTATTTAAAAACATATAATGAAATACAAACTCAAATTTTCTAAAATAATTATATGAATAAATTACATTTGTATTTGTAAATAAACTTAGATTTTAAATAAATATAAGTTTTTTTATAGTTAATATATTTATAAGTATGTCACATATTAAACTATAATGGATTATATTTAATATTATAAGGAAACAAACACATTTATACAACCATATTTTGATTTCAAATAGTTGATTAGGATACTATGATTAATATTAGCATTTACTCTTTATCTTTATTTGATAATAAATCATGATTGGGTCAATTTTAATGGAGATATGGAAAAGTCTGTAGTCAAGATTTTATATTGGTTTATAATTTTTTAGTAACAACCGGAATATTATCATATCTTTAATATATAATAATTTGTTTTTAATTTTGATTAAGATAATGACATCTGAAGATCCGATTTGTGATTTTGGGTTGTTAATTTTATTGTTGAACCAAACCGGAATACATTTTTAACCGTTTTATACGGTTACGGTTGAAAAACGGTCCGATTACGGTTAGAAATACGGTTAATGTTAGATTTTGGTCATGCCTACCACATGGTTACATAATGATGCTCTATGAAAAAACCTCACTTTCTCTTTCTTTCACATTTTTTGCCCATGTTACTCTTATTTTGAAAAGAATTTGAATCAAATGTGGTACTTCAGATTCCTCTTACAAATGACAATAACCTCTCTTATTATGGTTTTATTTGGAGATCCACGCGATTTTCAACAAGTATCTTCTGAGAAAACAATGCATGAGTAAATATGAATACCAATTTTCAACATTTATCGAGTACCTGATTCATTAACTTATTAATATGATTCAAGTAAATTTTTTTGTATGTGTGTATTATTCAAAAATTTATTCACTTAAGAACAAAAAATTAACTATTTTTAAAAATTTTCTACAAGGAACCCATGCTAATATGCATGTTTGGTCTATTTATGATATATCGATCTAACTGTAACTAGGAGAAGTGGAAGGTTCTATTGTGATCATGTACAACAAATATTATTTCGTAGTACATTTTCTGCTATATATTTAATATTGATCCTATTGATTACTATAAGACTAAAACTTGACATAACAAAGTCGTCTTGGTCTAGTGGTAAAGGAAGGTAAATCCTGCCACCTGGGCCTGAGTTGCATTGGCTACGAGGTTCGAGATTTAACGTGGTTCCTTCTGATCCCTGGAAATTAGTGTTTGGGCAAAAAAAACAAAATTGGATACGATTGTTAGACTTGCATTCGCTCCTCCAACACCACATAATTATTCTCCTCCTATGTTTGTATTCTTAAGTAATAATACTTCAAGAATATTTTATATGCATATATATATATATATATATATATATATATATATTGTAATAATATAGTAAAAA